CAGTCAGTGAAATTTAAGGGAAAAAAGTGAGTTGCTCTGTCCTGTCCCTTTTCCTCTCCTGTCTCTCTTTCAGCATTCTATTTAAAAGATGTTTAGCCGGGTGGTAGTGGTGCACGCCTTTAATCATAATACATGGGAGGCAAAGGCAGGTGGATCTCTGTGAGTTTGAGGCCAGCCTGGTCTACAGAGAGAGTGAGTTCCAGGACAGGCTCCAAAGCCACAGAGAATTCCTGTCTTTAAAAAAAAAAACAAAAAAAACAAAAACCAAAAATATGATATTTAATAGTGGAAAGAACCCAGCTCTTTACTCGGGCCCTCAGGACTGAGTTTTTCATAGTAGGGGTTACTACTGAATTTGCTCAGGTCCCCTCAGCACAGCCTGGAAGTGCTTAACTGTTCTAGTGCTGTCTGGTCTGCACGAAGATCCCAAGCCCAGCGCTGACTTGGCTCTGGGCTCTCTGGATTGGTGTGGCTGTGTTTGTGCAGTCATCTCCGAGGTAGAACAGTGACAGCTGGTATGCAGCTGGACATGTTGTCCTGGGAACTCTGTGCTAACACTGAAAACGTTTCAAACAGTTGCTTTCTGTGTCTACTGTTTGTGTTAACTGTTTAGAGAGCAGTAGTTAGTAGCCTAAACATACAGCATCTCTAATTGACTTTGTTCTTCAACTTTATTAGTGTTTTACTCCTGAGTCTGACTTCAGGGAGAGAGCTCATTTTCTGATTTCTAGAGAGCTAGCGTATAAGCTCAATAGTGCACCAGTGGCACCAATTTGATTCTTTAGAGGGGACTTATTTTGTTCTGATTCAAGCATTTTGGAACCCTGGAAAGTTGTGTATGGCCATTGTCATTCATCACCAAACTGTAAAGGCGGTTGTTTCACAAGGTCCTCATGGAATTCTTCCTAACCACACATAACAGAGAGACGTTTATGCTCCCCAGTAGTCAGTGTTTGCATCCAATTCTAAGACAGGAAGAGCTTCTCCCTACTCAAAGAGATTAGAAATACTTTACCACGTAGGAGGCTGCAGCAGAATTCCTTGGCTTGGCGCTGCTGGAAGCATGGCTGGATTCTCATTGTTCAGGCGCCCCCCCCCCCCTCTTCTCATTCCTTCAAGACCGTAGGATTCAGAGAAGAAAATATTAATTAGTTTTGAGTGCTCCATTCTAAACTTCTGCACTTGAGTTTTTCTTTTGTTTGAGGAAGGAATGTGTCAGGGGAGGAAGAGAGCCAGTAGAACACTCAGAAGCTGGGTACTTTCTGCAGGATGTGTATATCCATGGTGTCCTCTTATGTCTGTAGGAGGGAGGTGATGGTTCCAGAACTGCACTCACGCATTTACTTGATCCGGTTTCTGTATCTTAGAGCCCTACTGTCTAGTTTTGCTTGCTCCCATGATGGAACGATAGGACGGCAAGGTCACTGGATTGGGAATCAGAGAACCTGAATTTATTTTCTATCCACCTACCAATTAATTAGCTCTTCTTACTTTACCAGTGTGGAATGATAAGATGAGGCCAGAAGTGCGGTGAGGTAGAGGGAGGGCAGGAGGAAGGAGAGACAGACATGGAGGTGCTCAAGTGTAGCACCCAAGTTAGGTTTTCCCGTTCTCCATCATCCATGATCGTCGTAATTTCAGGTAACACAACTGATCTCATGCCCTGGCCCTCCCTCCATTCCATTTCTGACCGTGTCTGCTGTGTGTATGTGGTGCTGGACTTGAGCTCAGGGCCTTTGCATGCTAAGCGAGTGTTCCACTGCAGAGCTACACCCAGAACTTTCAGTTTGGGGCACAGGGTCTTACTGTGTAGCTCAGGGTCTAAACACCTCACCCTGACTTTGGGGTTGTAAGGTTGCACACCACACTGGTCTATTTCTTTGTTGTCCAGATTCCTTGAAACAGTTTAAATTTCTTGTCTCTTTGTCCTTCAGGGCACATCAGTATAAAGGGTGCTGGAGAGACATCAGTACATAGAGTTGTAACCTTCTACCCTCTTCCCAGTGGCCAGTCTTTGCCCAATAAGGCTACTTTTGGGAGGCAGGAAGCTGGTCTGCATGTGCCTATTAAAGTATCTTAAGTGGACCAGCAAGACGGCTCCTGTGTAAAAGTACTTGCTCCATCAGCCTCTAAGCTGAGTTTAATACCTGGAACCACTGTGGGAGGAGAGAACTGACTCCCAAAAGGTACCCTCTGACCTCCACAGGCATTCCCACACACGCTGTCTCATGTACAGTAATAATAAACAATTTAAGAAGTATGGTTTCTGAGTTTTTAGATCTTTCCCACTCAGCTTCCCCAACTGGCTTTGCCTCCTACTGTGAATGCAAGTACCCTTGATTGTAACTACAAAAGGAAAACATTATCAGGACTCTTTCCATTTTATCCCTCACAGAGTTGCTTGAATTTGTGAGTAGACAGAGCTAGGATGCAGGTTAGTCCCCAGCCCTCAGCCCCAGTAGAGCCAGTCCCCAGCCAGCACGGAAACCTGATTTTGTTTCACATCCTATGTCTTCTTTCCCCCAGCACTGTGAGTACAACAAAACAATGATACTAAACAAACCACCTTGTCTCAGTGACTGTGCATCAGTACCCTTCCCTACAGGTCCATTTATTTCTCTGTTTCATGGTTAGTCTGTCATCTTTCCTGGACTATTGCCGCATCTTAAGAAGATGTCTTTGGGCTGCACATGGCTATGCCTTTGGTCCCAGCATTCCAGGAGCTGGGAGCAGAGGCAGGTGGATCTCTTAGTTGGAGCCCTCATGGTCTGCATTGTGAGTTACAGGTCAGGGCTATCTATATTGAGATGCCCCACCCCAAAACAAAACAAACAAACAAAAAAGAAGTTGTCCTTCATTCTTACCCTTTCTAATCTCCACACTGGCCATAAAGTCCAATCTAACATGTATTTCCTGGGATAAGTCCTTCACTGGTGACTGGCTGAGGAAGTTACACGGTGCTCCTCCCCTCTTCCTGTGACCATTGCTGAGGGAGAAAGGGTGCTCGGAAGTGAGACTGAGAGCTCAGCTGGGAAGCCAGCAAGCCTCAGAGCTTAATGAAAGTATAGCTCTCTGGATGCTTTGCTGCTATGGCCACAATGCAGCTTCATATGCAGACTTATTTCAGAGGGTATCTGCTATAGGACAGGCTGCTAAAAAGCGGTGAGATGTCAGGAAGGTAGGGAGAGAAGGAAAGTCAAGGTAATGTGTAATCCACAGATTAGTGAGTAAGCCCATGAGCGTCCCACACCACCTACTCCTGCGCAAAATCAACTGTTTGCCTTGCTGGAATGTCTTAGAGAGGAAGTTTCTGGAATACCATGGATAATATACAACAATCTCACCCCCATTCTGAAGTGAGAGCTTGCCAGTGTTTGACGGCAGAGACAATGGTTCTTTCAACAAACCTGTGTGAACTGTAGTGTGTGGCCTGTGTCTGGGAAAGACGCTGTACCTCACCAAAGGGGAGGTCTGTATTGTGTAGCTCTTTGGTGAATGTGTTTACTAAGTACTCCTGGGGCAGTTAGGTCCTTATATGAACAGGTCTAAGCCCTTGGTTCAAGAGTTTTCTTTATACACCCTAATACTGCTTTACACCTCCGAGAACTTTCTAATGGATGGAGCTTGTGCAAGAGTGGATGGGACAGGATTGGCCTCATCTTTTTACAAAGGGCAACTGCTACAGCAGGAATCAGATAGCGAGTGAGTAAAGGAGCCAGGCCGAGCTCAGGCCCCACAATGCTCCATCCTAGTACTCTTGCATGCTTCAGCTTTGTTAAGTTCGGTTGTGTTATATTAGAGTACTGTGTGCACACATGCGTGTGCACTCGCGTGTATGTGTGTGGTTCAGTCTTAAATCTCTTCCTTGATCTGGCTAGTTGAGAAAGTCAGTTTTAGTGTAGATAAAGCTGGGTTGGGGGATATGGCCTGGACTCACAGTGGAGGTCTCTGCCCCAGCATCTGAGAGGGCAGGAGTCCCTGTTCTGCATAGGAGAAGGTCAGGGTGGGTTTTTGGTTTTGTTTCTAAGATGTGACTCACTTATGGGGAGTATATGCAAGCTCCTTGAGAACAAAGATGTTTTTCTGTACACACCCTGTGCCCAGTGCATCACATAGGACTAAATGTGAAGTTGAGCTCAACAAATACTTGTTGACCCAACTGTGGTCACGCTGTGTCTCTGGTAGACCACAGAAGTAGCAAAGTGTCACATATTGTAAAGGATAGGGCTGAAGAGTACATGGATGGTGAGTAAATAAATAGTTGTGTATTGTCTGAGGACATGCTATCCCAACCATTAGCCATGCTCTGGCTGCACGGAGCCGCTGACCACTGTGCTTCCAGAGGGCAGGCAGCCCATGACTCCTCCTCCTGCCCTTTGCTGCTCAGAGCTGCTTCTCATGTGTTCTCTTGTGAACACATCCTCAGCAATAACCTCTTCAAGATGCCTTTCTCTTTCTTCTTCTGCCTCTTTGTTGAGCTTCTGAATGAGGGGTTTCCCCTTTCCTGTTCATGTCCATACACTCTCATTCCCGCTGGGGTAGATGGAAAAGTAGTTCTGAGGACAGTCTTCCTGCGCCAAGAGAGTTGCTGTAGTTAATAAAGAGTAAGGCTTTTAAAGTACTGAAAGTACCCAGAAGACCAAGTTCAAAAGTCCTCAGACAGTTTTTTAATGTTTTTAAATTAAGCTTTCCCTAAAGCAGCAACATGAAGAGTAGGTGAGCTTATTATTTAGTTTTATTTTAAAATTCATTAGTACTGTACTTATACCACAAGTTTTCACGGTCAATGTTAAGAAGCCAGCTTAGCTGTATATTGTGGGGAAATGTGCAATTTCTAGGTTTAGAGTAGCCCACCAGGCCCAGCCACTGTGTTGAGTGTACTGAGGTCCTCGTGGTCTACTGCTGGACCCCTCTTCATCAAGTCACAGACCTAGTAAGGAATAGGGACATTTTTATCTTTATCTGCATGACTTAAGAACTTTGATGTATTTGTTCCATAGGAAAGGCTTTTGACATCACTTACGTGCGTCTCAAATTCCACACCAGCCGCCCAGAGAGCTTTGCCATTTATAAGCGCACTCGGGAAGACGGGCCCTGGATTCCTTACCAGTACTACAGCGGCTCCTGTGAGAATACCTACTCAAAGGCCAACCGAGGCTTCATCAGGACAGGAGGGGATGAGCAGCAGGCCTTGTGTACTGATGAATTCAGTGACATTTCCCCCCTCACCGGGGGCAACGTCGCCTTTTCAACCCTGGAAGGAAGGCCCAGTGCCTACAACTTTGACAACAGCCCTGTGCTGCAGGTAGGTGCTCACAGGGTGGTGTGGGAACTGGCTCTTCTCCGGCTGACTGAGTATGAAAATTATTCATGTAACCCATCACATTAGCAGCAGGGGTTTCTGCTGTTCTCCTGGGTGTTGTCTGTAAGTGAAAGGAACCATTCCCCCCACCCTACCCTGCCTAGGAGACTTTGCTTCTGTCTTTTCCACTTCAAAACATATCCCAGGGTTTAGCCCTTACAAAACAAAACCAAGCAAACACACACTAATATTGGTTATTTGAGACAAAGTCTGAATGCAATCGAGGATGACCTTGAGCTCCTGACCCTCCAGCCTCCACCTCCCCAGTACACTACACTCAGCTACTTTGCAAATTTTATTAACGGTGAATAGTTTTAACTTTAGTGTCTGTACTTGAGGAAGGAACATTTCGCTTCTGGTTTCTTCAAGAAAATATTGGTGTAGGGCTGGGACTATGACTCAGTTGGTAGACTGTTTAATTTCTAGCACCTCATAAAGCAGGAGAGGTAGAGGCAGGAATATCAGAACTTTAAGATCATCTTTAGCTATGTTGCAGGTTCAAGGCCAGCTTGGAATACATGAGATACTGCCTTAAAAGGATTCTCATTTTTTTAATATTTTAAAATGTATTGTGTGTATGTGTGTGAGCACAATAGCTTATATATGTAGGTCAGAGGAGAACAACTAAAGGAAGTCAGTTCTCCTTTACCCTGTGGATCCCAGAGATGGAACTGAGGCCTTAGGTTTGGTGGCAGGTGCCTTACCTGCCGATCCTTCTTACTGTCTTGCCCCTTCCCAAAGTAAATAAAATATTTTTTTTTCTTGCATCCTATCTTAACTGCTTCTTGAATTGGCAAATTAAAAGTTATATTTTTTTAAATTAGCCATGGGGAACAGCTGATGCCGGCTATTTAAGTACTTAAGAAGCCTTCTTTCCTAGCAGACAAGGACATTTTGTCTGTGCTGTTGATTGTCACTGTGAGAACTCTTTCTTCTTCACCTGAGAAGTTGAGTTCTACAGACAAGATGTCTGCTAGGGATCTTGGTTCTGTGCTTAAGGATCATGTAAAACTCTTTCCCATCTAACAGTGGGACAAATCAAAGATTTCTTCCGTCATTTCTATATGCACATTCCTTATACAGCCTCCTATGGAATCTCTGTGTGTGGCTCAGGGTTAAACTTTCCACATTCTGGCTGGGTGTGACTATGGAAGACTAGGGATCCTTTTGTCATTCTTAGACTATTGATGCAGATACCGATGTCACACCTACATGGGTGGTGATGTTAGTGTCTAAATGGGGGCAGTCTATATATATTCTTTGACTGAGGAGAGAAGGAAGGACTTCATGTGACTTTGCAAATGCTATGTCCATTTCATGAAAACTCTTAGTGGAAACCCCCTGTTTTCCTGGGCTTTCCACTTCTGGCTTCTTAGTCTTCTTCTTTGGGATTTATTATAATTACTATTCTTTTACATTTATTTATTTTGTATGTGTATGTGAGAGCACATGTGTACACTGTACCACCCACAAGTAGGTCAGAGGACAACATGCAAGACCTTTTATAATGTTGGTTCTGGGGATTGCACTCAGGTCATTATTAGGCTTGGGCAAGCACCCCCTACCCACTGAGCCATCTTGCCATCCCTGTAATTTATTCTTATAGTCAAGGACACTTTCTGATTTGGTTATTTAGTTTTAGGCAGAGCCACTGACGAGAATATATTTTTCTGTGTGTCCAATTCCCCACCCATTGTGTTCTTTTAGGCTGTCAGGAGATGTGTGAATATGAAAGTAAATCCGAGTATTTACCAAGCCTTCCAGAAAAGAGTTCGTGGTAAAGCAGGTAAAATAAATGGCAGAGAGAATAGCTGATAGAGACAGATGAAATAGCTAAGAACTGAAGGAAAGCCTTAGGAAGGCTGTGTAGCAGATGTCTGCCAATCTTGTTTCTTTGTCTGGCTGATTATATTTCCTGTCCTGTAGAGACTGCAGTGGGACCAGTAGGAAAGGGTGGTTTTCTGGCTCCTTTGCTTGCTGCAGGCCCACAGTCTGCCTTGAGCAGCTCCCAACAGGGTAGCGCTCCTTATGTCATAGAAACTAGTGAGACTCTGTGGTAAGCATGCTTTCTGCATAAATTTGGTGAGTTCATTTCATTGTGCAGTAGCTTTAATTATGTGTGTCTGGATATAAGAGCCCTGGCTCTCCTAGCTTGGGGCCAAGTCGGGTGAGCAGCTTTGACTTGTAGCTGATAAGAGTAAATTACTGCCTTCTCCCAGATGGAGGAGTCGTCTCAGGTTCCACTGGCTGAGTGGAACCTGCATTCGTTTGTAGTTCTTAGCATCTGTTATACACTTAGTTGTGCTACAGTTCAGCAAGCAAGCATGTTCTCAGCTGTAGGTAACTGAGCAGAATTCTGATGTCTAGATGTACTAAGCCTTTTAACTTCCATAACTCGGTAAGTTGGGTATTTTTATTATCTTCCTTTTTACAGATGAGGAATCAGAGCTCAGAAAGAAATTGTCCCACCTCTCAGATTTAGTGGCAGAACTGAGACTCATACTGTCTGCTCTTTTAAGATAATCTTGATGAAGGCAGTTGTCCTAGTGGCATCCTGTGAGCTTTCCATCTCCCTTGTAGCGGGGAGCTGTAGTAGAGATGAGGCCTTAGAAGGTATTATAAGCATTAAACAGAGGTGTGTTTAACTATTTACATTATGGACAACTAACAGATTCCTGCCATTGCGGCCATGAGTGGGAGTTGTTACTGAATTCCAAGATTGGATACGGTGAAATCATCATCTTCTCCTTTCTAATTATACTTGAAGGTTCATGGAGATTAGTTTTTTATGAGCTCTCCCTGTTGCCAGGTGTTTGGTGTAGCTTAAGGCAGTGATTCCTTATCAGGAGTACACTTGCTGGTCTCATAGAGCCCTTCAAAAGCATAGATGCCTGAGCCAGTCCTCCCACTTGTTACAGATGTGAGGGTGATTCCAGCGCGTAGTCCCTAAGTCAGCCTCCTGGATTGGATAGAAGCGCTGCTATCTTTGGTCTGGGCTCACTCACTAGGCGGGTCAACTAAGGGCAGAATCTTTCTTTTCCCCTGGGGTCTTCCATGCTCAGGAGACCAGACCAGACTGTTCCACAGTGAGGGCAACTCCCTGAGCATGAATAGTCCTTATCAAGCCTCTGCTTGTATCATATTGACTGATGTCTCCTCTGCCGAAACCAGCTTACATCCAATCCCAGAGTCAGCATGGAAGGAAACTGCACAGGGTGTGGCACAGGCAGGCTGAGTCATCGGGATCATTATGATAGCTGTGAGCCACACATGTAAGCATCTGATAAAGTTAGCAAAATGAAAAGGGCATTTATTATAAGGGCGTAGATATCATAAAACCCAGGAGTAATATTGCAGCTTTCATTCTTGCTGCTCTGTTATGATACACCTTTCAACTTGATCACGTGAAGATTCATTCACTCTGTGCCAAGGTTGAGGGACACTGCACTGGACAAAATGAACACAATTTCCTACCCTTCTGAGCCCTTTAATTGGGTGTGATAGGCAGTGTTGAGATGGATGGCATCGGCAGAGCATTGGAGTAGTGGGCCAGGGAAGACCTGACAGAGGTGGTGTTGTAGGAAAGATGACAACACAGAACTGTATTTGATTGGCTTGGGTCAGCATACTCATGCATTACCTTGTGCGTAAGTATCTATCTGTGTGGGGTTCAGGCCTAGGAGCCAGAACTAGATGGTACAAAACATACAGGGAGAAGCAGTGTGTAGGGACACGTGTGCTAGAGCAAGTGTGGCATTCGTGTGATCTGAGCTGCCTGCATTTTAGTTGTAGACTGAGAAGAGAGCAAGGGGTCCTGCTGAGAGTTCCTGCTGTTCACTGGGCTTTTGGATGTGTGTTTCTCTCACCTTAGGAAGAAACCAGCAGTGTCTTGGCCTGTGGAAACTCCCAAGTGGTAGTGATTATTGACTACAGAAGAGCCAAGGAGGAAAATATCAGGGAATCTGAGTCAGTAGTTCAGTATTTCAATGATCAGCAAAAGAGGATCTAGATTAACATATGAACTATTTAGAAGATTTGTCAAACATGTTTCTCATCTTCAGTCCCTCTACATCTCTTTATGTGTCTTTTAACTTTTTTTCTGGCAGGAATGGGTAACTGCTACTGACATCAGAGTAACACTCAATCGCCTAAACACTTTTGGAGATGAAGTCTTTAACGACCCCAAAGTTCTCAAGTCCTATTATTATGCAATCTCAGACTTTGCTGTGGGCGGCAGGTGAGTAAACTATGATTGGAACTTTGATGTGGAACCGTTTATGACTTCATTAGCATTTAGCGACCGTGTCCATCTGGAAAGACAAGCTACAATTTAGATTTTTTTTTTTTTTTTTCTTACTAGAGCTTATTCTGGAAGCTAAGCAGTTGGGTTTTCTGAAAATTGTTAAGTCTATACTCATTGGCTTGGCGGTTTAAGTGCAGAGTCCAGTAATAGATTCTGCAGACCTTCTAGGGTCTTATAACTCAATTAAGAGCAATTCGTAAATGCGTAAACATTCAAACATAGGTTGAGCATCCCTAATCCACAAACTCAAGATGTTCTGGTTTTCTGTTGTTGTGATAAACACCAAGACCAAGAGCAAGTTTGGGGAGGAAAAGTCTTATTTATCTTGCAGCTCTCAGGTCACAGTCTATCAGTGAGGGAAGTTGGGGCAGAAATTCCAGCGAGGCAGGAGTCTGCCAGCAGGAGCTGAACCTACACCATGGAAGAGTGCTGTTTACTAGGTTGTTCCCCAGGCTTGCTCAGCCTGCTTTCTTACAAAATCCAGGACCACCTGCCCAGGGATAGTAAGTACTGCCTACAATGGCTGGGCCCTCCCACATCAATCATTAATCAAGAAAATACCCACAGACTTACCTACAGGGCATCTGATGGAGGCATTTTCTCATTTGGGGGTCCCTCTTCCCAGATGCCCCATGCTTATGCCAAGTTGATAGGAAAACTAACCAGCACACAAAACTTGAAATTTTCTGGTGCTCAGGTGCTGTCACAAGTGGACAGTCAAAATGCTAGCCCCCTGGGTATTATGTAACTACCTTCAGGTCATGAAGGTCATATTGTGACTTGGTCCTGCTCCCAAGATATAGCAATCTGTTTTTGGAAAAGATCAAGAATCCAGAAACTTCCCTTTCCAAGCACTCGAGGAGGGGGTGCTCAGCTTGTGCTGGTGCCCCCAGGTATTCTAAACAAAATGTCACAAATCAAGACACAGAGCTGCAAGGCTAGAGGAGCATCTGGGGTCTGGATGTGTCTTCCAGGACAGGGACAGCTTGGGTAAAGAGGGAAGGTGTCTGGACTGAGTGCAGGAGGATGGGCTGTATCCGCAGCCTTCAGAGAGTGTAACCCCGCTTGATGAGGAGGAAATCTCTTTGTAGAACTGTAAACCAGAAAGATGGACTTATGGTCAGAGATGACAGGCTAAGAATCATGGACTTTTTCCCCTTGTATTAGCCCATGAGGTCTCTAGAACAGAAAAATTATTTTTTGTGCCTGGTGTTCCTGGCATGCTCAGTGAGATTGGTTTGAGATGCAGTGAGAAATTGCACAGTATTTGGAGTGAGGCTATAATATAAAAGCTGGTTTAGGAAGATAAGTGAATGGTGAGAGCAGAGCATAGTGGTATGTAGTTATGAAGACACCGTGAAGCCCATTACTTTATATGCTGACCCACAGAATCAATCCGAAAAATGTTTAAGGTGAGTGTGCAAACAGGGTAAGGGGACTTGTGTGGTTGATGGAATTACCATTCCTGATTTGCTGCTGTGTAATCTGCATATTGAACAACAAAAACCTGACATCAGGCTGCTGACAGATCAAAAGGGATGCAGAGATGCATTTTACTGTGAAAGGGAAATTACCAGGTCATCAGTCAAAGATGATCTTAAGATCTGATGATTTGGAGAACAGTGGTACCATTACTAAATGTAGAAAATGGGCTAGCCAGGTGGTGGTGGCACACAACTTTAATCCCAGCACTTGGGAGGTAGGGGCAGGCAGATGTCTGTGAGTTCTAGGCCAGCCTGGTCTACAGAGTGAGTTTCAAGAACAGCCTCCAAAGCAATATAGAAAAACCCTGACTCAAACAAACAAACAAAACTAAGAGAGAGAGAGACAGAGAGAGAGAGAGAATGGGCCAACCACATAGTCATAGACTTGTAGAGTTTAAGGATATATGAGAGACATTAAGTTTGTACAACCAACAAGGATAGGAGCCTTGGTGAAGGATGGGAACAGGATTCTAAAATCAGGACTCCTCTCTGCACATTGAGGAAGACTTCAGTGTGCACAGGCAGTTTTACATAGCAGTTGGAGCTGTAAAATCATTGTCTTTAAGGAAGCTAGTGAGAGAAATGTCTCTGCTCCAGCCACATTCACATCTCCGAGTTTCCTTGGGTCCTCAGTTTATAATACTTGCATCTAAGGGATCCTTCAGTGACCCTTGCCCCCAAAGAGCCCAAGGGAATAATCTGTCTACTTGACATCTATGGGTTTTAGGTGTCAAAGTCAGCATCTCACTTCCTTCAATGGGAAGCATTAGTCATTACGGTGAATTATTGCCACATGTATTAACTTGGGTTCTGTTGAGTCCTGTATGTAGCAATTGAGCAATTCCCAGTGACTCTGAGAGGCTTTAGCATTGTTTGTTTCACAGGTGAGGTTCAGGCAGCTCTGAGTGTCAGGGAAGGGTTCCAAACCCAGGTGGCCTGGTGTCAGACTTAATGCTATTCTTAGCCATTGTCTTTTGCTGCTACCTGAAGGTCTTGACTTCAGGAAATATCCTGCTGGTATTCTTGGAAACTGTTAGGGACTGTCTTCTGTCTAGTTAATGTTCCATTCTGGGCTTTTGGGTGTGTGTGTTTCAACTTATCCATGCTAAGTTCCTCAGTTTATACTTTTGAATGGTAAAATTCAAAGAATTCTTCAGTTGCTTTTGGTTTTCCATACACACTCTCTCTGCATTGTCTCTAGGACCTCACGGTGGTTCCATTCTTAGCCAGCCCTTGTCTTTCCTCTCCAGGTGTAAATGTAATGGACATGCCAGTGAGTGTGTGAAGAATGAATTTGACAAACTGGTGTGCAATTGCAAACATAACACATACGGAGTTGACTGTGAAAAGTGCCTGCCTTTCTTCAATGACCGGCCGTGGAGGAGGGCAACCGCGGAAAGTGCCAGCGAATGCCTACGTGAGTGTCATTAGTGTAGTTTGTCCACTTGTTTTAAGGACTGCAGCTGGAAGAAAGGATGGATGACTTCCTCACTGATGGAAAACTCTGAAAGACACTGCTCCTGTAGAGCAGAGGAAACCGATGGATGAAGGAAGCTGGTTATGAATAAACTGTGCTGGTTTTGTTTCCTTCATCAATATCAACTAGGAAGCAGAATCGCCAAGTTTCAGGAGTTTGCTTAGATTCAAATACTGGGTCAATGTGGCACCTCTTAAATATGACTTCTGTAGTCACCGTTGCCCTTTAAAATCAACCATCCCTCAGTATCTATAGGAAATGGGTTCCAGAATCTCCTTTATACACCAAAGTTCATAGATGTTCAAGCTCACTATATAAAATGGGATAGTGTTTTCATTTGACCCTGCACCCCTCTTCCATGTTTGTCATCTGTAGGTTACTAATATGGCAAACCGTGCAAATGACATGTGAATGGTTGTCCTACATTGGGGAGTGGGGACAATAAGGAAACGTCTGTACATATGTTAAGTACAGACATTATCGCACTGCCACCATACTGTCTATTGACAGCTGATGGATGCTGTGGCTGTGTAACTCCAGGAACAGAGTATAGCCGTCTCCTTTTCATCACCGTCATTCACTCAAGCAGCCAGCTGGGTTAGTGTATGTCAAATACAGTGAGTTAATTCTCAAAATAATTTTCCCCTTATCTAAAGAGAAAAGTGGGAAGAACTTGTCCAACCACAGCCTGGAAATCTGGGTGGCTTTGGGAGAAGGGATAAGCCCCGTGCTGTCGCAAAAGTCAAATTGAAGAAGTTAACACGTTTAGCCTTCATAATGTCATGGCTTATTCTGAACAGGTGGAGAGGAGGAACTAAGAAAGAAAGCATTGAATTATGATTTGTCCAAGATTTAATGTGAACAAACTTTAAAGCCACCACAGTGTTCTTACATCCTCCATCAGTGTGGGGGATAAAAGGAGTAAGAAAAGGGACACTTGGAGCATGCAACAATTATTGCATACCTTGAGAAGGAGCCACCTTCTCACTTAGGACTGCTTTCATTGAGCTGCTTCGAGCAGAATTTATTAAGCATTTTTCTCTCTCAACAAATCCTGGAATTGCTGATAAACTTTATGGCCTCCTTTAGCATTTCTAAGCATCCAGTGAGCTCCTTTAATCCCATTACCACAGTAATGTAATTGGGTGATGTAAGATGAGGCCTGGCGAAAGAGACATGAAGCCCTCCTAAAACATGTCATCTAAACACACGTGCATTTGTAAAGTTATATACATATGGATGCCATGTTTCTAGTTTATCCAGGAAATAAGAACAAACAAAATACTGTTCACCACTAGGAAATGAAGCTGCTTTGGCAGCTATCAAGCTTTGATAAGGAACTCACTGAATTTGCCTCCGTCCAGTCTCTTCGGCACTAATGCTTCAGAGGGAAGTAAATCAAAACTATAGCAGGACAGTTAAGATACTGGGGCTAGATCAGAGAACAATCCAGCTGTCTTTTCTCTTCCTAGCTATGAATGAGAGGGCTCAAGCTGTATGTAGCTTTGGGTTAGAGCAGAGTGGATATAGGAATTGTTCTGCTCTGTGATCTCAGCACCAGTGCACACTTAACAAGGCTGGATTGACTGCAGGGTAATGGAAGGCAGTTTGGGGCAAGAGAAGTAGTTATTGAAAATGTACTGTGCATCAGCTATGGAAAGGGGTAGGCACTAAAAATGGCTTAATTAAACTCCAAGTCTTGGCGCCAGCATTCAAGCTTCTAAAAAATGCTTTCAATTATAATTCTATAATAGACTATATTGTACACAAAAAAGAAAACATATATTCAAATACTTAAAAAAATAGTTGATAGCTCTATCATAAACCAAATGAAACTTTGTTTTTATGTGATGGCTAAGAGCTTATATATTCTTTGGACAAGTTAAGTCTGAGAAAATCATCTTACAATAAGCAGCAATAAAGACTCTCTGTGAGTCCAAATATTTATTTATTTGTTTATTTTGGAGACAGGATCTCACTATGCAGCCCTAGCCTGGAAGTTCCTGTGGAGACCAGGCTGGCCCTCAGACTCATAGAGTTGCCTTCTGAGTCCTGGGGTTAAAGCTGTGCACCACATCTGGCCGGTTACTAATTCTTAAAGTGTGGTTGTGTTTAACAGATGACCCAGTTAAAACTGTGGTTCTATAGCAGATGGATCTGAGAGGTCTTGATTTCCCTGAGTCTGCTTCCATCATCAGGTTTTCTAATTTAAGCCTACATGTCTCAAATTCCCTAGTCTGGATAGATAATATGGCCCTTTGACAGATAGCATCTTAATGTGTTCCGATTGTTAATACAAAAATGTTAAAAGCTGTGTGATAAATTAGTGCCTTGTTTTTACTGTCATTTCTACAAGTAAAAGATAGAGTTTGGTGGGAAAAAATGGATGTGGTGGTATACACTTTAATCCCAGCACTGGGGAGGCAGAGGCAGGCAGATAGATCTCTATGACTTCAAGGCCAGGTCTACATAGTGACTTCCAGACCAGCCAACACTAATAGTGAAAGCCTGTCTCAAAAAACAGTTAAAGAGGGATCATTTGACTTGGCTATTACATATGAGCAGCGACTGGGACACAGATTCTTTCCTGGGTATAGGTCTTATGTTTATGATTATTCTTTTTCTATAAGGATGGATACTTCTTTGTAAAGTGACGATAAGGCTGTGTAAACTTATTGACATACTAGGTTTTCTGTAAACAATGTGCCCAGTAGTCATTCTATATAATCTGTCACAGAGATGTAGGAAAGTATGGTTTGGTTTTCTTGGAGTCTTTTAAAATGCTTTCTTAAAGGTATACAGGTCTTGGGGGCTATAGTGATGACTCAGAGGTTATGAACACACACACCTCTTCCAGAGTTCATTTCCCAATTAATCACCCACGTTAGGTGGTTCCCAACTGCCGCCTCGAACTCCAGCTCCAGGGCATCTGACACCTCTTTTGGCCTCTCCAGGCATCCACTCATACAGATACACACATATATTTTCTTTTTAAAGGTATACAGATCTGACTTAACTTGTATACTTTGGCCTATAGCCTGTGACTGCAATGGCCGATCCCAAGAATGCTTCTTTGACCCTGAACTATACCGTTCAACTGGACATGGTGGCCACTGTATCAACTGCCGGGATAACACAGATGGTGCCAAGTGTGAGAGATGCCGGGAGAACTTCTTCCGCCTTGGGAACACCGAAGCCTGCTCTCCATGTCACTGCAGTCCTGTTGGTAAGTGACAGGAAGGATCCATTCCACTGGATGGAGTAAGGTGACACAGTAGTCTCCTGAACCCAGAAAATGAAGCTTTGCGTTCTGAGCATGTGCACAGTTAGGTGCAGCAATACTTGTACTTGTAAATATCTCCTTCTGTCTCCAAGCCTCTCCCTTCCTCTAACGAAGCTGAACTTTCGGATTATTTCCTAGTGTGTATAAAAGAAGTAGTGGTTTTGTAAATAATTGGCAGCTGGGTCATAGAGATCATCTGAACTTTGACTAAGGAAGGCTCCCCCTTGTTAATGATTTTGTTTAGTCTAATCTCCTTAGAGGGCTGAGCTGTGTGCAGCATGTTAGTATGTGTCTAGAGCGTTTAGTCTCTTGTATTTTTTTTAAAGTTAGACTAATATTTTGTTGTTTGTGCCTATGAAATTCTAGATGAGAATCTTAGGGAATGTCTGATGGCCAGAGAGGTGATTGGCCTTGTGCACACTGTGTCATTGGGGATAATTTTTTTCAAGAGTGGTGGATATATTTACCTAAGGGTGTGCCTGGAAAGCTAAACTCTTAATGGCTTTTAAAGCTATGATTTACAAAGAGTTTTAGTTTGGAATTTGGTCCTTATTTTCTCTGATCATCTAGAGATTACATATTGGTCGTCAGGCATTGCTTTCAGCTTCTGCTTGTGTTTCTTTTATATTGCTTTTACTTACCCATCTGTTCAGATTTGGAGTTGAACATTGAACTCATTGGATTTTAGGTTCTCTCAGCACACAGTGTGACAGTTACGGCAGATGCAGCTGTAAGCCAGGAGTGATGGGTGACAAGTGTGACCGTTGCCAGCCTGGATTCCATTCCCTCACTGAGGCGGGATGCAGGTAAATGTTTTCAGGATCACAGACTGGTCCTGAATCTGCACAGGAAAGTGGTAGTAATAGTGGGAGCCCTTTCCCAGCAGTGATGGTCAGTTTCAAGACCACCATGATGTTTCCCATGGGCTTTCGGAGAGTACAGTGTGTTTTTTAGTAGTTTATGTTAGTGTGCACGGTTTTGGTTTTCATTATGGGTGATGACTGAAACCAAATCCAAATATAAAAGTATCAGGAGTTCACTTTGTCCTTTAAAGGTCACTGTGTGTAGAATCTGCTGTTATGTAAAGCAGTTAACACAGACGTGGCTGTAAGCCAGGAGTGATGGATGACCAGTGTGACTGTTGCCAGCCTGGATTCCACTTCAGACTGTAAGAGTGGGATCTCTTTCCTCTCCTTTTCATTGTTGTATTCCATTCCCTTCCAACAGGCCATGCTCCTGTAATCCGTCTGGCAGCACGGATGAATGTAACGTTGAAACAGGAAGATGTGTTTGCAAAGAAAACGTCGAAGGCTTCAGCTGTGAGAGGTAGCTCCGTCTTTCTCTAACTGTTGCTTTCATAGTATCAGATTTCCAGTGGAAACAGTGACTGATGCTGCCCTAATCTCTTTCAGATGCAAACCTGGATTTTTTAATCTGGAATCATCTAATCCTAAGGGTTGCACACCCTGCTTCTGCTTCGGGCATTCTTCTGTGTGCACAAATGCTGTTGGCTACAGTGTTCATGACATCTCCTCCACCTTTCAGATCGGTAATTCAACCCGTATTCAGTCTCATGGGCCTCTAGAGTTCTGAGACCACATCTACATGGGCAGTTTTTGAATCAGTAGCTTGGGAGGATTTTTGACACTAGGAACATTTGCTATTATTTAATATGCATTTTTTTTATTGTGTGGCTCTTTAATGAAAACATACATGTGGCTTTAGAGAATTTATTGTAGTAAGCAGTGACTACAAATATTCTATTAAAAAATAGAGCAAAGTATGTCTTTCAGGGGATAGTATTACATAGGTTCTGTTGTGGAGTCAAACTTTTTTATTAATGGTTTTCTGTATATAAGGTGTAGTCTCACATTTTGTGAGCCTACATACAGGATGTTTGTCATGTAAATATACTTGTTTCTTCATTCTCTACCTGCAGATGAGGATGGGTGGCGTGTGGAGCAGAGAGATGGCTCGGAGGCATCTCTTGAGTGGTCCTCTGATAGGCAGGATATTGCTGTGATCTCAGACAGTTACTTTCCTAGGTACTTCATCGCCCCTGGTAAGTGAGGCTGGAAAGCAACACGGTTTTCTGGGTGCTTCTTTCCATCACCATCTCACATTCTGACCTAGCCTGATATCTGCCTTTCAGCAAAGTTCCTGGGCAACCAGGTTCTGAGTTATGGGCAGAACCTCTCCTTCTCCTTCCGAGTGGACAGACGGGACACTCGCCTCTCTGCAGAAGATCTCGTGCTTGAGGGAGCTGGCTTGAGAGTGTCTGTGCCCTTGATCGCTCAGGGCAATTCCTATCCTAGTGAAACTGCTGTGAAATATATCTTCAGGTGAGACATCTCTGCCAACTCAGACCTGGCCAGCTATGAAAGAGAAAGTGGGTTTTTGTTGTTCATTTTAAACAAAAACGTCTGAGCTAGATGTGGCTGCTCATACCTATTGCTCTAGACCATTGGAGGCTGAGATGAGAAGGTTATGTATTGAAATTCTCTGTAAAAAACAAACAACAACAACAAAACCCTTTGGGTTATTGAGATGAGCCACCTTCTTTTATCTTCTCTTTTCTAGTTGTACTGAGAAACTGGCAACACTCTCTTGTTTGGTTAGTGTGTCAGTATTGCCTGCGCTGGCATCATTGAGCAAGAAACAGCCTCCTTGCAGATTATCTTGACAGAGGTTATGTGCCCTTTCTTTCTCTCCAGGCTCCATGAAGCAACAGATTACCCTTGGAGGCCCACTCTTTCCCCCTTCGAATTTCAGAAGCTCCTAAACAACTTGACCTCTATCAAGATCCGTGGCACATACAGTGAGAGGAGTAAGTTGTGATGTAATTTAGGAGTTAATTAAGATGACATGGTAGAAAGATTTGTGGCAGGGAGGAGGTCCTGTTCTGATATATGCACACTGATCCAAGCTATTATCATTTGTATATTAAAATGTACTTTCAAACCATCTTGGATCTGGAGAACATTCACCAAAATGACTATTAATAACTATTATTTTATCATTATTAAGCCAATTGAAATTTCATTATACATAGATTTTCTTAAAGTCTGGTTCAACTTGCTTAATCTTCATTACTTTTTATTTACTGCCATGTAATTATCAAGTGATTGGATAAATTATCAGAAATTAGATCCAATGATGTAATACATCATCCAATGAACATTTGCATAAACAAGGGCTTATTAATGAGGGCTTTCCCCCCTCTAGTAAGGTAAAGTTATAGCTTGGATGTCTTGGTTTTGCTTCCCCCCCCTGCAAGAATCCATATAGAAATGTTTTATAAATGATTACTAATATGGACTTGGGTCCTTGGAAGAGGTTTGGGCTTTAATGTAGATTATATTTACATTTTGGGCATTTACTTTTAAACTTGGAAATGTGGCAGAAAATAGAGAGAGGGGATGGGATCCTAGAAACACAGTTGAGGTGTGTGCCCTGAGGCTGAAGGGAGGAAAAGGATTTGGAGAAGAAAAAATAATTGCAGGTTTAAGACGAGAGCACCACTGGGTTTTAGGTGGGGGTTGAGAAGTCATTGGTGAGAATTCAGCTTTGGCTCAGGGATGAAGCTGAGGAAGATAACAGGACTCTTTGAAAAGGTGATTTTGAGTGTGAGGAGGTAAAAATAAAGAATATTAACGTTTGGCTGAAAGAGAGAAAAAGAGATGAGTGATCATTTGGGAGGAGGACCAAGATTGAAGGAAGAAGAGTATTTTTAGGTCAGGGAGATGTAAGAATGTTTAGAGATTAGAAGTACATCATAACTCACGATCTTACTGGCAGAAACCATAAACATATTAAAAGCTACGTTCAAGCTAGTATGAGAAGTGTCCTTTGGCCTAGGTGGTCAGTGTCTACGAGGATTATATTAGCACCAAGTAATGCTCCATAACATGGGAGGAATGTACTTAAAGCAAAAGACAGCAAAGGATTCCGGTAAAATAGAAATTAAAGGGAAACATGATAGTATCTTCAAGGCCCTCTTTTTGACCTTAGAACGTTGCTGCTGGTTCTACTAGATTGGATGGATCATTGTCTAATTCAGTATAAGCTTTCTTTGTCCTTATGGAAATGAAAGAGCATTCTGACATGTGGCATAATGGCTTTGGGATTATTGTACACTTGTCAGAGCTATACAATCGTGTGTGTGTGTGCACGCGCACGCATGTGTGTGTGTGTGTGCATGCGTGTGTGTGTTTCTATAACTTTGCCATACCTCTAGTCCATGTGCTCAGCACCCTGTATCATATGGTTGTCTTAAATGCTGTTTTCTGAGTATCATTCCTGGCGAATGACTTGAGGTAATGGTGAGTTTTGTCTGAACTCTTGGGTCTGGCTACTCTTATGCTTAACTCTTCATGAGTTCTTGGAAACTGGAAGGCACTTCAGAGGTTCTCTTTCCCACACCACAAACAGGTGCTGGATATTTGGATGATGTCACCTTAGCAAGTGCTCGTCCTGGACCTGGAGTCCCTGCAACTTGGGTGGAGTCCTGCACCTGCCCAGTGGGGTATGGAGGGCAGTTCTGTGAGACGTGCCTCTCAGGCTACAGAAGAGAAACTCCAAGTCTTGGACCTTACAGTCCGTGTGTGCTCTGTACCTGCAATGGACATAGCGAGACCTGTGACCCCGAGACAGGTGAGAGGGCCACTGCTTCTGAGGTCACTGCTGGGCCTGAGGGCACTCAGTGACTTAATTTACTTGTCACATACCTGATGATATTCTTTTATCTGCTCCCAAAATAGGTGTCTGTAACTGCAGAGACAATACAGATGGCCCTCACTGTGAGAAATGTAGTGACGGATACTATGGAGACTCAACCTTGGGCACCTCCTCTGACTGCCAACCTTGTCCCTGTCCTGGTGGCTCAAGTTGTGCCATTGTCCCCAAGACAAAGGAAGTAGTGTGCACCCACTGTCCAACTGGCACCGCTGGTGAGTGTCACGCCCTCCTTTCAACCTCCTGTGCCTCCCTCAATGCCCTCACAACCCTGAGAGGGGACGTCTGCCGTTGTGCTGTGACAAGAAGGTGTGGAAACAGTGACAATGGTGTGTGGCGAGAAATGGGTGACCCAAGAAAACTGTCACCATACTGCAGTCTCTCATAAAGTGAGAACCCCACTGGGCTTTCAGAATAGGCTTGTCTGGAATTGTTAATGTGAAATAGCAATTTAAAATTCTCTCTCTAAATCATCCTTTCAGAATTTCAACATTGGTCACATTGAGTTGGGAAAGTTGTTATTTGGGTGGAGGGGGCTTTGGGTAGACCTCTCTTCCCATTCTACCCACTGAGTTCTCACAGGTAGCTGTAAGGGCCATGACCATGGGGGTTGGGGTTCGCTGGCAGACCACCCTTTTTTGGCTTACCCTGTCTTTACTGTAAAGAGCGGAAGACAAAAATCAGGGATAAAACAATGTGTTACTCCATCAATCCATATAAGGAATTCAGGGTTTGAAACTTGATTGTAGACTTTGAAATGAAAGCAAATTGTTATGGGGAATGAGTTTAAGGCAGGCTACCTCTTGTGTCTGTTGTAGTCTGATACGAAACAACTCTTCAAGCTTTTGAAGTATAGGTCACACGTGGAATAGCTCCATTATCAGATGAGACTTCATAGCTGGAATGTGGTCCATGTGCTCATGTGGAGATGGCTCTGAGGGAGTCTGGTGGCTGCCCACAGCAGGGCCAGGAGGGCCCCTCATTCCCATGCTCCTGCAATCTGGTTTCTCCCCTCTGCCCCTGCTCCTGCTCAGCTTACTGACCTCTGCTTTTGTCTGTCAGGTCTAGTGGTCAGTGTCATGGCCATGCTGGACAGTGCTGGCTGGCTGCCCCTCTGTAGTCTGGCCTGCCACTCTCCTCGTTTACTACTCTTTTCTCTTTCACAGTCTTTATCTCGGCTGGGGGATTTCATCCAAATTCCATCCACACTCCTCCTTAGGTGATCAGATCTCTTCAGGTTTCTGCCTGGGACTATGCAGTCAGTATCCTCAGCCCTGGACATCCTCTCCTGAGCAACAGCCCTTTCCTTCCCCACCCAGTGAAGGGCTGGAAGCTTTCTGTTCTAGGCACCGCAGCCTCTCAGCTAAGGTTGCCTCTCTCATGGGTCTCCCTGCTTCAGATCGGTTCTTCCCAGGGGAGCCAGAATAACCCTTTTAAGATGTAATCAGATTACTTCACTTTTCTGCTGAGCCATCTTACCATGTAGTTTAGGCTGACCTCAAATCTGTCATCTTCCTGGCTGAGATTGTGTGTGCTCCATGTGCTGTGGTTATACCACTTAAGAGCTCTCCAGGGCCGGGATGGCTGGGTGGGGAAACACTTGCTGTCAAGCCTCAACACCTGAGTTCAGTCCCCGGGATCCCTACATAGTTGAAAGAGAACCAACTCCCACCAATTGTTCCCTGACCTCAACAGTCATGCTACGGCATGTGAGCATACAAATAAGCAAGCAAACAAATACATGTAACATTTAAAAAAAAAAAAAAAAAGGAAAAAGAAAAGAAAGAACTCTCTAGTAACTTGTCACAGCACTTCACTTTAAATCCTGGTCTGACCTGGGCTGGTTGGTTCTGCTTCCGTGTGTGGCCTTGTTTGAAAGTGTTCCCATAGGTATTTTCCTGGAAGACCTCTATGTCTGTGAATTCTCATCCTAATGTCTCACCCCCAACCTAAAAAAGGCCTTCACCTTCACAGTCATTTCAGCTGTCACTGTGTTTGGTTTAATGCTCTTGTACTGTCCCCATTTGAAGTCTTGTGTGCAAGTCTGTGCTGACCCTCCCTAACTGCAACAGAAATGTCATGGGAACAGAGACTACAGGTAGGCAAACCAGGGACCATCCTACTGAAAAAGTATGTCACGGTCACTTCACTGGTCTGGGCCACAGCTTGGGTCTCCTGCTCTCCACTGTATCACACAAGACCTTGCATATGATGGTCAGACTGACAGTCCGTACCTGTTGGTAACCCACAGCAGAAATGCCTCAGGCCTTTCTTCCTTAACCTCGGATTCTCTCATTCCCAGGCAAGAGATGTGAACTCTGTGATGACGGCTACTTCGGAGACCCTCTGGGCAGCAATGGGCCTGTGAGACTGTGCCGACCATGTCAGTGTAACGACAACATAGACCCCAATGCGGTTGGCAACTGCAACCGCCTGACAGGAGAATGTCTGAAGTGCATTTATAACACTGCTGGCTTCTACTGTGACCGGTGCAAAGAAGGGTTTTTCGGCAATCCCCTGGCTCCCAACCCAGCAGACAAATGCAAAGGTCAGCCACTGGCCAGAGTCAGTCACACATACACCTTGACGTGCAATTTCATTGTGTGTTTCTTTCAATACTTACAGAAGTTTGCTCAGATGCTTCCAAACACCTGTGAGAATGCAGTGTGAAACACTTGCACAACTTTAAATTGCTGGACACCACACTGAAAAAAAGTGAAAGAAACAGGATTTAATTTTAATGTTATGTTTATTATTATTATTAACATTATATATGTTTTAACATATTAGCATGACATATTATGTTAATACAGCCAACATTTTATTGCTTCAACTAATAATTAGTTAAAAACTGTTAATGAAATAGGTGTTCTTTCCCCACCGTACATAGCAGAGCCAGTGTGTGTTTCAGCTGATGCACATGTTCATGCAGATCAGCCGGACATACCGTATGTGGCTGGGCAGCTCCTATTGTAGGCCAGAGGCCTAAAGCACCTGTGCTACTGTTCTTTCTGCTGACTTGCATCTGTTGCTTTTTCTGTCTTCCCGCTCTAGCCTGCGCCTGCAATCCCTATGGGACAGTGCAGCAGCAGAGTAGCTGTAACCCTGTGACTGGGCAGTGCGAGTGTCTGCCTCATGTCTCGGGCCGGGACTGTGGTGCTTGTGACCCTGGCTTCTACAACCTGCAGAGTGGGCAAGGCTGTGAAAGGTGAGACTTTGGAGCCTTTGGAGGAAGTGATCGTTTCCTTCTTTGTCATAAGAAGTACAGTTTCTCAGGTTGTAGTCAGTGGCTACATTGATGTCGTTCAGGAATTGTTCTTGGGTCTTACCTGGGAAAGGCACCGGGTGAGAGGATTTCTAGGACAGAAGAGGCAGCACAGTGGCAGCCCCCGTGTATCAGACATTTCAAATGCAAGGTTCCTTCTCAGACAAACTCAGCAGGGCTGCAGCCTGGTCAGTGCTGGTAGGGTTTCAGAATGGAGATTGCTGGTACAGGTGAGGCTTGACAAAGAGCCCTAAATAGCACTCCCAGAAAGGGCTGGGACCTTAGGGACTTAGGACAACCCTAACATTATGCCTAACAGTTCCTAACACGATGCCCTTGATAGAGAATGTTGCTTACAGTCTGCTCTTCTTACCATAGACATGTCTTGTGTTTCTTTTCAGGTGTGACTGCCATGCTTTGGGTTCCACCAATGGGCAATGTGACATCCGCACTGGTCAGTGTGAGTGCCAGCCTGGCATCACCGGTCAGCACTGTGAGCGTTGTGAGACCAACCACTTTGGATTTGGACCTGAAGGCTGCAAACGTAAGACATAAGACATGGTGGCTTGCAGGGCACTGTCTTCCAACTCCAATTAGTGCCTAACATACAGAAAGAACTCCATAGCCTCTGTGTGGCCATCACAGAGACTTTATCTGTGAATATTATGAAACTCTGGAAAACAAGGGCTTTTCTGGTTCCTTTGTAACTGCCTTGTTGAAATCGCCTTTTGAGGTTTTTTTTTTTTAATACTCCCCTTTGTAATCTTTTTTTTTTTTTTAAGGAAAAAAATCTCCCTTGAGTACTGAACTTGCCCACTCTGCTTAACGAGACTTATTTATTGATCACATTGTCATTGTGGATGAGGAAACAGTAATGGGTTTTGTTCAGTGTTTGTTGACTTACTGTAGTTACTCTCCACCCGTGGGGCCTTTTTGGTTCGGTTGTATATAAACATCTGCTTCTCCTTGGCATAAACACTTGCCTGGAAATCAGAACAATTTGGGTTCTTGTTTTCTGAATTCCTTCATTTCTCCTGTGGAATGCAGCTCAGAGAACAAAGTGAGAAAAGAAACAGAAAGATAATGCAAGGGAAGCGTTAGCATTTGGGCTTCCTCATTTCTTTGAGAAATTTAGGCAGTGGAAAGATGAAAGTATGCAGGGATTCCCGAAGGAAGAGCACTACTCACTTCAATAAGCCTTCCCTGTGTGCCTAGGCTGGCCTCACCTTCCCTACCTCCACCTCCCAAGACACACATTCACCACCATGCCTGGTAACCCTGTAATTCCTGTGTCACATGCTATGTGCCCCAAGGGGGTATGGGGGTGACTTAGTGGATAAAGTGCTTGCCATATGAGCAAGAGGACCTGAGTTCAGATTCCCAGCATCCATATAAAAAAGTAGGTGTGTGTCTGTAACTCCAGTGCTGAGACAGGTAGGTTCTTGGAGCTCATTGGCCAGCCAGTCTTACCTATTGCTGAGCTGGGCACAGTGGCACCTTTAATCTCTGCATTCAGGAAGCAAAACTAGGCAGGTCTCTTGTGAGTTTGAAGCCACCCTCGTCTACATAGTGAGCTTCAGGCCAGGGCTACATAATGAGACCCTCTCTCAAAATAACACACACACACACAAATAGAAATAAGGCAGAAAGTGGTAGAGAAGGATAGATACTCAGTGTTGACCTCTGGCCTCTGTAGGCTCATGCATGTACGTGTGTGCATATATGAACATATACACCACACACAAAAAGTATGCTCCAAAAGATGCATGTTTTACTTCACAACTTAAAATGTCTGTCTTCTTTGCTAAGTAGATTCAGCCATTTAAAATTCCATAAATGCATTTTCCTAAGTACTCAGAATAATGATACAACCAGTTAAATGAGAATCGTCTTCTCGTTCTGTAGCTTGTGACTGTCATCATGAAGGGTCCCTTTCGCTCCAGTGTAAAGACGATGGTCGTTGTGAATGCAGGGAAGGCTTTGTGGGAAATCGCTGTGACCAATGTGAAGAGAACTATTTCTACAATCGCTCTTGGCCTGGCTGCCAGGAGTGTCCAGCTTGTTACCGACTGGTGAAGGATAAGGTGAGCTGTAGTGTGTGCATGCATGCATTCATTCACTTATTCACTCATTCACTCACTCATCATTCATTCATTCATCCATCCCTCATCTATTCAGCTCTTGGCTCCAGAGAAAAAATGGTGAACACATTTGATCTGGCTTCTCTTCTCAGAGGCATACCTTCTAGTTACATACATAAGAGAACACCTGAGATAAGAGGCTGAAAGAACAGAAACAGGCAATACCTGTGGGAAACTGTATAGCCTTTCAGGAAACTCCTGCCAAGTGAGAGCTGAAGGAGAGAGCCATGTGAGGAGGAATGGCAGGCAAAGGCCTGGAGCCTGGAAGCTTCTGGACCCTGCCCTGTGGAGGAACTTGGTTCTATAGGACTGTGTTGACAATAAGCCAAGAGTTTAGGAATTATTCCCAAAGGCAGTGGAAATGCACAGAAGTCCAGCTGTATTTTCAGAGGAGTGACCTGGCTACCACATGAAGAATGCCCATTAGGGCAGGGTTGTGGGGAAGCCTTTGAATGGATAGGGTAAATAAATATGGTGAGAGAGCAGGGCAGGGAAGAGAAGAATCGAGAATTAGTCTTGGGCCTTGGGGGTTTTGCTTTAATGTTGCTGAAGATGTTGTTCACTGGGAATCCCCAGGGAGAACAGGTTCTGGAGTTCAGTTTGAGATGCCTGGCAAAGATCTAAGTGATGCTCAAAAGAGAGACCAGAACTGGAGAACTGTCTGTAGACAGTTCTAAGAGCTTGCTTTGGAAGCCAGAGAAACAGATAAGCCACTTCTGCCTGTGCTGTCTTTGTGACGGGCACGGTTTTCCCACTTCTGTGGCTCTTGCAGCATGCACAGCTAAGTCCTCTTTTCTCCTTCTTAGGTTGCTGAGCATCGAGTGAAACTCCAGGAGTTAGAGAACCTCATAGCAAACCTTGGGACCGGGGATGAGATGGTGACGGATCAAGCCTTTGAGGATAGACTCAAGGAGGCAGAGAGAGAGGTTACAGACCTCCTTCGTGAGGCTCAGGATGTCAGAGGTATACATTATGCAGCTGGGTGACTGATCTCATTTCTAGTTTGTAATTCATATGGTTTTTATAAAATTCACACATTATAAACTACTTGCAGAATATGGTCTTTTTATTTTAGACAGAGTCTCCCTGTAGCTCAGGCTGACCTGGCAATATATCCTCAGCCTCCTAAGTGCTAGGAATGCAGGCATGAGCTACCTGCCTGGCTGTAAGTTATTTTAAAGATGACATTACAAAAACATCCTACTCTTAATATTTTAAGATGAAATAAACATGGGTAGCTTCCCACTATATCAAAAACTATTTGTTGTCCAGGTTTAAAGTACCTTATGTATCTATTCCTTTACATACAGAGAATGTGAAGTTGAAAATATTATTTATTTAAGGATGTTTGTTTTCCAGCCACAACTTCTGAGAAATATTTTTAAGGAAAAAATTCTAATTTTGATTTTTTCCCCCACTATTCTAATGAGTGGGAATTTATTTTATATATAGCTTTATTTTCTTCAACATGACTCGAGAACAGAAAATGGGTGTCCAAGCATTGATTGAGTAGCTAATTACTGAATATGCAACACTTGGCATTTGTAAAATGCCTGTGCATGAAAATTTTTGTCTGACTAGCACAGTATGTGCTGACATTATATAAAAGTACATGTCATATGTACCAGACCCATCCTAAGGTCTTCTGTGCATGGTATGACAAGAAAGAAAGGAGATCAGCCTAAGACTTAGAAGACAGTTTATTTTAACATAACTTATTTAAAAATAAATCAATTTATTTTGTTGATTTTTTTTCAAAGAAACTTGTTTTTAAAAAACTTTGAAGTGGGAATGTTATTTTATATCATATACTTGCTTTTTAGATCACTTTAAGTTTTTGTTTTTATTCCTTACCCTGAACTTAGCTTTTCTCCTGAACTTAGGCAGACACTTCCTACAGTGCTCTCCTGTTTGCAGGATGATCACCATCATACTGAGTCCCCTTGGTGTGGGGCTTTCCATCATGGGTCAAGTGTGTTCCCAGATACACATAGTAAATGTTCATTAAAATTAGCTGCACAGGGCAGCAGTGACCAAGCCCACTTTGAGTTTATAAATATGTATCCATTTGGAATTTGTTCCATGTGAGATGCTTCTTAGGTATTGAAAAGCATAAGATGTGGGTGGCTTATTGTAATGTTAGATGCAGCTGTGTGCCTATTTGGGGTTATTTGTTTGTATCATTCTAAGTGATAAACACTGCCTGGGAGGAATGGACACCCTTCCCATTTAGAAGGTTCATTGTGTCAACCACTTTGGCATGTGGTTTTCCATTAACATGCTCTATCAAAACAACAAATCCATGTGTTTGCTGTATGCACTAAGTCATGGTGTTATATTCTGATATGCCAGCTGGGCTAACCCAGGTGTGACAGAAAGCTCTGGGCCAATACCACCAACACACAGGTGTAATCCTGGGGCCAGAAAAGGGCAGCAAGTCTGGGCACTGTCATTCCATGCAACTTAATATGGCTGAGCTACTGGCAGCATCCCACAGTAACCATGTATTTTCCTGTGCCCACATAGACGCTCTGCTGGCCAGAAGCTCCATTATACTTCCCTGTACCACCTGCAAGCTGACAGCACAGTGGGTTGTTGCTTCTCCCAGCCCTGAGATCATCTCATAGGCTGGGGTTAAATTCCCCTTCTGAGGTTCCTCAGTTGTGGAGTTCCCAGCTGACCTTTCCTGCTTAGGTTCTCTAGCCAAGAATGACACGCCTTTGTAATGATTTGGCTTTTGAGACTGTTAAGTACTCAATTGTAGTGGAAATATGCTTAATCTGCAGATTTGAAAGATGATATGTACAGTTTAGGGCTGACAGGTAGACACTGGGAGTTGAAGGATGGTTGATATGAACATACCAATTAGTGTCTCTGTTGTCTCTTCTGGTGCCATTGTAGAGAACTGGACACTGAGGCGTGGCAGTTGTGTTCCTGAGAGTCTAGGGCAGTGGTTCTCAACCTTCCTAGTGATAAGACCCTTTAATACAGTCCCTTGTGTTGTGATGACTCCCAACCATAAAATTGTTTCCCTTGCTACTTCCTAACTATAATTTTGCTACTTATGAATTGTAAATATTTTGGAAATAGGGAATTGTGACCCATAAGTTGAAGAGCACTGGTCTTAAAGGATAGAGACTTCTTTACAGCATTTGCTGATTCTTTTCTGATCTAAACATGTTTGCATCTTTATAGTTTCTTAAAAATGTCTAATTATCAAAGAATTGTACAAAGAGTCCTGTCAGCAGGACACGGTGTGCAGTTAGGTATGAGTTGTGTAGGACATCACTTTACACACGTGTTTCATGGCCTTACTGTCAAGTTGCTATTTTCCAAGCTTGTATTTATTTCATTTGATCTTCACTTGGAACTCTCAATTTTTATATCCCTTAGAATTTTTTCCTTTTTTTAATTTCATTTTATTTTATGTTTTTATTGAGCTATACATTTTCCCACTCTCATTCCCCCCCTCCCCTCTCCCCTTCTACTCTAACTCATACCCCCTACTCTCAATTTACTCAGGAGATATTGTCTTTTTCCTCTTCCTAGGTGGATCCATGTATCTCTTTCATAGGGTCCTCTTCATTACCTAGATTCTCTGGAAAATTTAGATTCCAACAGAGCATCATGTTGAAAATTTAAAATTGCTCAGTCTTTAAAAATTAAGTTTAAGTAATAAATTGAGCATAAAAATTATATATATTCATAGAGTAATAATATTTTGATACAGATACATATATGCATAACATAGAGTTTAAATCACATTAGACATATCTACTCCTCAAACATTTATTATTTCTTTATGGTGAACACTTTCAAACCCCTTTTTTCCAGCTTTTCACAACGTTTCATGCTGATATCATTGTTGCCGCACTCATTACTCAGTAGCGCATCAGAACTCCTTAGCGCTCTCTAACATGCTTGCCCACTGCCCATCATTCCATGGTCCCCTGCCTTCGGATGCATGCACACACTGTTTTGTTAATGTTAGCTTTTTAAAACTTCCACATCTGAGTGAGGGCGTATGGCACTCTCTGCTCTCTGTGTTTATTTCACTTACATAATTATCTTACTCCATCTGTGTAGTTGCTAGGGACAGGATTTTGTTCCTTCTTATGGTTGTGCATATCTCTTTGTGTTTATGTACCGTTTCATTATCCATTGATTGATAGGCCCAACTATTGGTTTTACTGCTCCGATACTGAGAATAGTGTCTCAGTGATGGGATTGCAGGTGTGTCTTTGAAGTCCCCTTGGAACGGGTATGTGGGTTGGGATTACTGGGTCAGGTTGATCTGATGTTGAGTGTTTTCCATGATGACTGCACTGCTATAAATCACATTCCTGGCAGTAGTGTGCAGGTTTGCCTTTCCCCCCATCCTCACCAGCACTTGTCTTCCACAGTCTTGTTGACTGGAGCCATACTGACTGAGGCCAGATGGTCTCTCATGGAGGTTTTGACTTGAATTTCCTGATGATTGATGGTGTTAAACATTTATTTTCCTGTACCTGTGTGCCATTTGTGTGTCTTTTTTTTTTTTTTTTTTTTGAAAAATGTCTGTTTATGTGTGCTTCCCATTTGCTAACTCACCTCCTTTTGGTAATGAGTTAATGGCAATGGTAATGAGTACTAATGAACTTAAGTTCTTAGTACTTCCAACACACAGCTTGTACTTACTTTCTCCTGGTCTGTGGCTGTCTCCACACTCTGGATGGTTTCCTTTGCTGTGTAGCCTTTCAGTTTGATATAATTGTGTTTGTCTAGTTTTTGGCGTCTTGTGCAAGAAATCCTTGCCAATTCTAGAGTTCTACAGCAATTTTTTTTTTTGTTTTCTTTCAGTAATTTCATTATTTCAGGCTTTCTATTCAAGTGTTTAGTTCATTGGAGTTGGTGTTTATAGCTGGGAGAGCTAAAGGTACAGCTTCATTCTTTGTGTGGTAGTCTGCTTTTCCAGTTCTATTTATTGAACTGACTATCCTTTTCCTGGTGTGTATTTCAACTCTTTTGAAACCCATCTGGCTGCAAATGTGGGTGTGTTTCTAAGCTCTCTTCCATTCCAAGAACTGGTCGATTTTAAATAGAACATGAGTTTTTGTATATTAATAAAATTTCATGACATGTGAGAATTTAATACTGGCTAAATATAAATAATTTATACTTGCACAGGTTTATAAATATCATTTGATTTATTAAGACCCAAGCATGAGGTTTAAGTTGAATGGAACAGTAAAGTACAATTTGAGAAACTGTATAGAAACAGAGATCCAATTGAAATTTACATGTGCTGAGACGGGGTAGGGTGGGGAAGAGCAAAAAGCATGCTTGGTTTACAATACAAAGAAGTTGGACTTACCATACTTCAGGGGTGTTTTGTTTTATTTTGAGTCAGGGTTTTTCTTTGTATCCCTAGCTAGCCTGGAGTTCCCGTGTAGCCCATGCTGGCCTGGAACACACAGAGTCACCTGCCTCAGCCTCCTTAGTGCGAGATTAAAAGCTTGACCATCATACCTGGCGTCTGCTTCAAATGGTCTTTTTAACAGTTATGTGTCAGGTGTTCAGGGCTGACGGCATTTTAATATTATATAGCTATGGTTAAATCTGGCATGTGTCATAGTATAAAGATCAATTTTACTTTCCTTCATGAAACATCCTTCTGCCTGATTGTGCTTTGCTGACTGTTGTAGAAGATTGTGGATCTAGTGATGAATAGGAAAGACTTAGTCATCTGGGACAAGCAGTGCGGTGAGGTTGGTAGTAGTGAAAGCATGGGGCACAATAGAGACATCACCTCTGCTGGGGGTTTGGGCACATGTGTCTGAAAGATGCTGTTGGAGATAATAAAGACACACAGAACCTGGGCTTCCCATAAGATGGGGTGGCCCTTCAGATCATTTACACACTGTCTGCAATACTCCTTCAGATGTAGATCAAAGTTTGATGGATCGCCTTCAGAGAGTGAACAGCAGTCTGCATAGCCAAATTAGCCGACTGCACAATATCCGGAATACTATAGAAGAGACTGGTATCCTGGCTGAGCAAGCACGGTCCAGAGTGGAGAGTACAGAGCAACTGATTGAGATTGCCTCCAGGGAGCTTGAGAAAGCAAAAATGGCTGCTGCCAATGTGGTGAGTTACTCTGAAGTTGCGGTGGGTAGGATGGGTTGTTGGGTAATTTGTAGCAGACCATTCTACTCCATTGCCCATCTGCTACAATATGTCTTCACCCGCCTACCTGGCACTGAGGAGCAGGAGACCCTTGCTGCTCATAGTCACTGAAGGAGTTGCTTTACTTCTTAATGGTGGCAAAGCAAACAGAAGCAGCTTAAGACAGGAGGGGTCTGTGGCTCACAGTTCTTCAGTGAGGGCAAAGCACTGGGACAGCCATTGGTACCGGCAGAAGTGTGCGGTGGCTTCTCATATAGCAGCCAGATCTAGAAGCCCAGAATGGGACAGAAGCTGAGCTGCTGTTCCCCTAAAGGCCTGTGCCAGTGACCCAAAGTCTCCATAGCCTCCCCTAAACACCAGGTGGGGGCCAGGTTTTCAGACAAAGGAGCCTGGGGGGGGGTCACTTCAGGTTCTAACTTCAGCAATTGTCACAAAACAGAAGAAACTGGATAAAAACAGAGGTGTCTAGGGTTTTCCTCTCACTTGCCTCTTCTGCAGTACTCAGAATAGAAATAATTTCTAATTAAAGGTGCTGATCAGAAGTTAATATCTCTGAAAATAATTTAAAAAAAACTACTAGTGTTAATACTTGCTTTGTGGAATTTAAACAATTTAATATTTTGAGACTAAGTGTTTTATTTCCTCTTCAGTCAATCACTCAGCCAGAGTCTACAGGGGAACCAAACAACATGACCCTCTTGGCAGAAGAAGCCCGAAGGCTTGCAGAGCGGTAAGGTGCAGCGGCCTTGTGGGTCAGGCATGGTGCCCCAGCTGATGTGTGCATGTGCTCCTGTCCCCTCCCGTGCATACTTTCTTTCGTAAGGTTCTGAAATGTTAGCAGCTATGCAAACTCTGTTTCTTTCACTTGGAAATTGGAATGTTTACCTCAAGTATTAGAATATAATAGTTTAGAACAAAATTATATTTATATATTTCACAGATCATAACAATTTTTTAGATATTTTTAAACTTTAAAGCCTTCAGATTTCCAAGAAACCCAGTAGAAGTTATTAATTTAAAATTTTTACATTAGTCTTTCGATGAATATTTAATTTTCAGTTCTCAATAAAAAAACACTAACTCAATGTACATTTGAAAGTAAGCCAAAGAATACTGACCATTTCATACCTGGTTTGTTTGTTTTTTAGATACTTATAAATTCATTGTAACTTCTTTGCAAGGCTTTAAATTGCAGAAGGAATTACATTTTTAAGAGTGGCTAAAATGTAGGCATCACTGAGAGCAGGTATCTTTGTATGAAGTCAGTACAGTAGACCTCAGTAGGAGCCTTATGCAGACGTTGGAATTGTCAACACTGTCCAGGGAAGTGCCATTGACGTCTTACAGGTTCTAGGTTACATTGACCTTAGCAGGTCTCTTTCTATTCTGGGTAAGTGTGAATTTGTGAGCCATGTAATCAGCTTTACAGAACATTCATAGTTTTATAGCTGGATTTTCTTACTAAAGGAAGATAGCTGAAAACATGGAAGCTCCCAAGAAACCTAGGTCTTAGAGATGTACTGATCTGGTAGGTTTCATGTGAGGATGTAGGATAAAAGTTTCTTATGACATGGAGAATGGCCATATGCTGGGTGTCACAATTCAACACGAAATGTTAGAAGTGGAAAATCCATTAGCATTGTTACCCAGATAAGATGCGTTGCTTGGCTGGAGTTCCTGATGACATGTTCATTGCTATTTGGTGCTGCTTTTTCTTCCAGTAATTAGGTCAAATAAGAAAGTCAGAAGAGACAGGCTGTGTAGAAACTATGTAGTAACTATGTGTGTAGAGCCCATGTAGTAACTGTGTAGGCCAGCAGACTGTATGATAAGATCAGTCCTGAGGTTTGTGTTGCTGACTAGGGTTCTGGATAGCAGAGTGCTGTATGTAAATTACTTGTATTCTAAAGTGAGTTGCCTGCCTCCATCTATCCCCCTCCCTGTTCTCTGAAACATTCTCATGTTGTAACTCATCTGGCCTGGAACCTCCTGAGCCTAGTGCCTCAGTGCTAGGGTTATAGGCAGGAGCTACCTACCACTGCATGCCCAACCAAAAAGCAGTTTTTCTAAGAAAGCCCCAATAGAGTTTTGTGCCACTGATTCTCATAGAAAATACTCTTTTCTCAGTTTACAGAATGCTTTTTGTAAATGTAACCACCTGAAATGATTGTGAAAAACCGAATGGGGCTTTCCAGTGTTCCTAGATCTCTGCCCATATTAGTATATGGAAATACAACAAAGTAAATGTCTAAATTTTATTTCTTTCTCTATTACATGGTCTCATTTGTGATTTATTTTTAAATTTTTCCTCCTACATGCACAGCCATAAGCAGGAAGCTGATGACATTGTCCGAGTGGCAAAGACAGCCAATGAGACTTCGACTGAGGCATATAATCTGCTTTTGAGGACCCTGGAAGGAGAAAATCAAACTGCTCTGGAGATTGAAGAGCTTAATAGGAAGTGAGTGTCATTGGGAAGTGGCTCCCAGTCCTGCATTGTGATTTGGGGTGTAAGTGCATGTGCTGTGAGGTTCACCACGCTTTCAGAATGGTGGAGTAGTTAGAGCAGGGGATGTGCAGCCGCTCCAAACTCAGACTGCAGAGGGTGGGAACTAGACTAACCATGCACTTAAGATTCTTCATATGTGGAGACTGACGAGGGGACATACACTGAGCTGCCAACCTTTAAACAGGTCTGAAGTAAGAGTGTATAAAATGTATAAAGTTAATATCTCTAATCTGAAAGGTCAGGGACCACAAGTGTTTGGGACTCTCTGTGTATGTATTGTATTAATATTATATGTTCTTATACATGAATATTTGCATGCATAGTGAGATTGTGAATGAAACCCAACTCTAAATACAAAGTTCATTTATGCTCCTGTACATGTAGCCTGAAATATATAATATTTGTAGTGTGTCTGCAGTTTGATGTAGCCTTCAAATAGAATCAAGTGTGAAATTCTCCTCCTGTGTGTTATAAGAGTGCTAAAAACATTACAGAGTTGGGATTTGGGGTTAGGGGTGCCCAGTTTATATGTGATAAGGTAAGTAGCTAGGTGTTGGTATTAAAATGAGAGAGCATTTGGTATGGCAGCTCCTTTAGATTTTTGGAGCTATTGTCCCAGTGATATTAACTAGATTGTATTTGATCAATATTAAGATGTTTTAAGGAAAAAAAACCCAACTGGTTTTTTATTTTTATTTATTTATTTTTTTAATGAATTACATCATTTGCTCGTTAGGTATGAACAAGCAAAGAACATCTCTCAGGACCTGGAGAAGCAGGCTGCCCGAGTCCACGAGGAAGCCAAGCGGGCAGGTGACAAAGCTGTGGAGATCTATGCCAGTGTGGCCCAGCTGACCCCTGTGGACTCTGAGGCGCTGGAGGTGTGTGTGCAAAGACTCTGGTCACTGGAATCCCTTTATATCCCTGTCCCTCTAGTCTCTGTAAGAGCCATTTTGAGTGCCCTGCTCCTCCCTTCCAGACCTCTGACTGACTCACTGGTAAAGGTGAATTCTATTTTAATTATGCAAATAGAACTTAGTGAGATAAGGGATTACAGACATGAAACGAGGATTACTATGCTAATATGAGTACTTCCTCTAGATGTTTCCTATAAATCCAAACTGTGATATATTTGAGTTCCATGAAGTAGAGTGTGGCTGGAGCCTTCCTCCTAGGCATTGTATAACAGACCTCTAGAGAGCAGGAAGAGGTGATAGCCAGCAACAACTATACCAGCATGCTCAGGGGCAGGTAGAATATTCAGGAGTTGGTAGTATTTTATTTCATTCTAACCATGTTTCCTCACTCAGAGCCCTCATATAAATATCTTTAATATTAAACTTGAAATTTGCCATCTTATTTCCTATATCTGAGGTGTCAACTGGTATCCCACGGTTTAGGTCTCTTCAGACACCTAGTGCTGACAGAGTCCATGAATATGAGTATGAAAACAAACAGGATTGATATGATGGTAGTCAGGAGAGCAGCAGCTGTGGGAGTTGGGGGTAGACAGAGTCACTTGAAAGTACCCAGGGAGCTTCTTGGGGAAGATGTGCTCTGCGTCATAATGGAGCTGTGGGCTGGCAAAAGCTGTAAAAAGTACAGGAAACATGGGGAAATCACTGAATTACACTTGGGTATCTTGACCTCTGCTCTCTTTTAGAACTGTCAATTGAGCCTTAAATCCTACAGCATTCCTAAACTCCCTTGTCACTCAATGTCATTATTTCTTACGTGTTTGTCACAGAATGAAGCAAATAAAATCAAGAAAGAAGCTGCGGATCTGGACCGTCTAATTGACCAGAAGCTAAAGGATTATGAGGACCTTCGGGAAGATATGAGGGGGAAAGAGCATGAAGTGAAGAACCTTTTAGAGAAGGGAAAAGCTGAGCAGCAGGTGAGTTTGATTTGCTGCTGGGTGCATTTCTGGAAGCAACAATTCTGGAAGCACAGGTGTAGGCCGTGCCTAGTGCATGGCCTGAGGCTGTGAGGGAGGGACAGGCTGACCCGGGAAGGTTTGTCTTCTGACCTGCCATGCATTTGCAGACGGCCGACCAACTCCTAGCTCGAGCTGATGCTGCCAAGGCTCTTGCTGAAGAAGCTGCTAAGAAAGGACGAAATACCTTACAAGAAGCCAATGACATTCTCAGCAACCTCAAAGGTACGAGAGGGTCAGGCGACAGCATTTCTGAGTGTCTTCAGCGGAGGCGGTCACTGTGTCACTTTTCCATTTTGTCTTTAGTGTGATTCTCTTTGACCATAGAAGTGAGGTGAATCCCATATACTGACTACTTAGATTTAATAGTTAACCATGATCTTTTGCCATTTAAACTCCATACTCTGCCGTGTGTGTGTTTGCATGTATGTGGATATGTATGTATGCACATGCATGTGCAAACCTGAAATTGACTTCAGGTATCTCCTTGATGGCTCTTCACTTTTATCTATTGAGGCAGGATCTCTTGCCAAATCTGGAGCTCATGTATTTGAAAGGAAAACCAGAGTGCCTCTGTCATTGTAACCCTGCATTCTTCTGTCTGAAAACAAAAAGCCTTGTGTAGGAGGGTGGTCTCACCATGGTCTGCCTGCTTAGCTGACTTTCAATGATAAATGGAGGTTATCTTTCATTTTTTTTTTTTTTTTCTTTCTGCCTCTGATACCTAATTCTTTGTTTTAGAGAAACGTGCCCAATTCACTGAGGGGCTGATTCATGTCTGGTAAAAAATAATCACAGGTTCTATGAATGAGGAGGATTTGCAAACACAATAGTTTGCGAGTGTAACTTTGTTGTCAGTAAGTCTGTTTGAATCCCTGCTCCACAAATTAGCATCTTCAGTTGCTGGCTTTCCCATTTATCCAAAAAGTGTCACGCTGCACCTGACACACAGTAGACACTAAAAGACACTAGCTAAAGCAGTGATGTGTTCCAGGCTCTACATGACAGCGGCTTTTCAAGTAGGAACTCTGTTCAGAAACAGACGTGCGTCATGTGACTACTCCCGGAAAACCTGCACAGGGATGTGTGTATTGTTTCCCCTGTGAGATTTCAGCCCCAATAGTCATTCATTTTTTAAAAACAGATTTTAGTGCAGAGAAAACAAAATCCAATTGCACTTTCATTTTTATTTTCCTTTTAATTCAAATGCCTGCCTTGAACTCCTTTTAGATTTTGATAGACGTGTGAATGATAACAAGACAGCTGCAGAGGAGGCGCTGAGGAGGATTCCCGCCATCAACCGGACCATAGCCGAAGCCAATGAGAAGACAAGGGAGGCACAGCTGGCACTGGGCAATGCTGCAGCTGACGCCACAGAGGCCAAAAACAAAGCCCACGAGGCGGAGAGGATCGCCAGCGCCGTGCAGATGGTGAGCGCTTCCCTCTTCCCCAGCCCCTGCTCATGCATCTCTTGCTTTCTAGACCTTGCAGAGTTTTTTTCTCTGCTATAGTTACACTGTTGGGAATCATCCCTGGCTGCTTTTTTTCTTTTCAATTCATGTAAGAATATATAAGTGACTGGGGAAAGAGAAATCAGTAAAAGGACTTGCTCCTGTCTCAGTGTCGGATCTGAGTTGTGAAGAGGGTGGTCTCAGACTACGTCAGAGTCCCTGCCCACAAGAGTTTAGACCTTTCCTAAATAAGCATCCTCCTTGAGCCTGCACATGACGAGGGCTGTATCGATGCTGTGTCAACGCTTTGTCAGCACTGGGGCTACTGTGGCTGCTGCTGCAGGGGCGTTAAAGGAATTTCTTTAGGCTCATTTCATTTAAAGATCCATCTGTTTTACTTCAAGGACAGATTAGAGCTTATTTTAAAATTAAGTGTGTGAGAATCACAGAAAATTTTAATTTCTTTAAAAGGGTTGGCTTTTAGATCTGTTTCATAAAATGCTCATATTTCAGGATGTGAGCTCCTTTGTACATTTGCTAATGAACTTACAAGGCAAGCTTCGGAGTTAAAAAATATCCAAGGGAAAGAGTATGATCAACACAATGTGGCACAACAGTGTTCACAATTAAATTTTATTTGTTCTCTGTGTGACCTCAGCTAGAAATGGTTATAATAGAAGAGGACATTTCAAAGGTTTAAAGAATGGAGCACAAATGACGGTGCTGTATAAAATGCTGCTGTGTTTGACAATAATTTCTTTCTTTTTTTTTTTTTATGAGAGACCAGGAAATGGTGGGAAGTGGGTCATGATAGTACACGCCATTGATGTTCTTTCTGGATTGCAGACTATAAAAGGGAGTAAGGATGTGCCCTGGAAAGGGCACGTTGTGCTGGGGTTTGGTTTGCTTTGGTCAGCAGTTTCTTCTGTACCTAGAATGCCACCAGCATCAAGGCGGATGCCGAAAGAACCTTTGCAGAGGTGACGGACCTGGATGATGAGGTGAACGTGATGTTGCGACAGCTGGAGGAAGCAGAGAATGAGCTGAAGAAGAAGCAAAGGGATGCCGACCAGGACATGATGATGGCGGGGAAGGTAAGAGCTCCCCATTGCTGCTCAGAGGCCCAGTGGAGGGCGTTCACTGGTGAAGACCCGCTCCCCCAAATGCCTCATTCATATGAACTTCGGGTTTGCATTGCATTTTCTGGTCAAGAATTGGGTCAGTAGCTGACGTAGAAGACAAAGAATTTGTCTCCTCTGCCAGGTATTGATGTTACACAACTACCCTGTCCCAGAGCTACTCACTTAGAAGCAAAACGTTTCCCCCGCAGCTGGAGTTTTAGAACATTTAAAAAAAAAAAAAAAAGTTCTGTGTGTGTGAGATGTAGTTGAATAGGTAATTCATAAGTGGGATACAATTAAAATTCTTTTAAAAGGAGACTGCAGCAAAAAGCCAGTTTCTTTCTGGGCTTTCCCAGCTGCTCACTCACTTGAGGCAGTTTCTTCTACAGGACATACTGCCCTGCAGCACACCAACCTCATCCCTGCTTCCCTGCTTTACCTCTGTGGTGATGTGCAGACATCACACCTCCTGTGACAGAATGGGTTTGTGCCTAGATGGCCAAGGGAGGACATGTGATATTTTGCACTAGAAAGAACTTACTGTGGAGGAATATTCCTTTCCTGTTTGGAGTCTCATTCATAGGAACCAGATACATTCGCTTGTTCGCTCACACACTTGCAGGGTCAGGAAGAGGCCCATCCTTTCCAGGCCCCCCAAAAACAAGTCCTCTTGCTATGGGTCATTTTTACTTTGGGACAGAAAGAAATACAAGGTCTGGTGAAGTGGTACCAATTAAATTTTTTACACCTCTCTGTTCACACAGCTCAGTTTTTTGTTTGGTTTTATGAGACAGGGTGGTCTCACTCTGTAGCCTTGGCTGCTCTGGAGCTCTCTCTGTAGACCAGAATGACCATGAACATATAGAAATCTTCCTGTCTCAGCCTTCTAAATGCTTGGGTTAAAGATATGCACTACCACAACTAGTTAAACAGCTGAGTTTTTAAACTTTGTGCTGGATTATCCTGTGATTTTTAATGCTCAGATGGAGATAATCATGAAGCAAAAAAATCAGTGTTTCTCTTATGTGCAGAAATATGCAGTATTTCTTTTATATTCTTTGGGCTTCCCTTTTTAAATATATTTATTTCATGCATGTGCATGCATCACACCATAACACATATGCTAATGTCTCAAGACAACTTGTGGGAGTTGGTTCTTCCCTTTCACTGTGTCAATTTTGGGCTTAGAACTCAGGTCATTAAACTTATGGCAACTTATCTCTGAGGCATCTTGATAGAAACATTGTATTTAAAGCATGTTAAAAAAAAAAAAAAAAGTAAAGGATACGTATTTATGAGTTCCAAAAAGGGATATGGGTTTAATTCAAAGAGCAGAAAGAGAATCCCTCTTTTGTTAGTTTTGATACTTAACTTCTTAGGAGCACTAAGCCATGCCTTCATACATTATCCCTTTTGTATTTATATCAGTTTTGAACACCCAACATTCAGCTAGTATTGCCAGGTCTAATATTTTCTTCAACCAGAAGGGTTGTGGTTCTTTCTGGAAGTCGCTGAAGGCCACAGGTTAAACACAGCAGAGTCCTGTGCCCAAGTCTCAGAACAGTCATAGGAAGCCTGTGTGACTCCCTGACCGCAGCTGCAATTTGAACTGAGTTAATCATTTATTTGTGAAAGCTTTTTATTTTTTATCCTTTCTGTTTTTAAAATTTCACATTGTTTTGATCCCTAAATGTTTGCTTTGCCGTGACCCCAGAACTAGGAAAAACAATTACTGGTAGAGAGTCCAAAGCCTCTTATTTGTGTCCCGTTGGATTCGTTGGTGAGAGCATCTGCTTTCTGATGCGTAGATGCTTCCTTTCCCGCCGCTGTTTCCTGTGACTCATGCTCAGTGTGTTTGTTCAGGTTTCATGGAACTTTCCCAAATATATTTACCTTTGGTTGACTTTGAAAATATCCATTGTATCCATTGTTTTGCCTGTGTGTGTGCGCGTGTGTGCGTGTGTGCGCGCGCACGTGTGCAAGCGCTCACGCATGCACACAAGAGCATGTGTGTAGTTGATAGAGAATTTTCAGAAAAGCCTGGCTTTGCTTATGAAAACTCTCCAAGAATAGGATATCTCTAATAATCAGGCACCTAAGAATGTTCGCATTCTGTTCCTGTACTCAATCTGTACTTAAAAAGAATCTATTTCTACTTAATGTGTTTATCATGTGTTTGCTCCAGGTATTCTTGAGCGGGGGGGGGGGGGGGAGTGAGAAAATGAGATTGTATTGTTTTTTGAATGCATATGTCATGAAGGGCAGCCGTGACACATGGTATATATATACATATATATCTACCGTCCCAGCACTCAGAAGGCTGACACCAGAGGATCTCATGTTTGAGACCAGCTTAGGTTACATAGCAAAACTATCCACACACACAAACACACACACACAAACACACAAAGGTGTAAGGGCTTATGATGCTCTGTGCAGTAGAAACAACATCCTCCACCTGAAAATGCCACCCCAAACCTGCAGAGAGACCATGACTCATCACGTAGAAAGGGACACATCTGAAAACATAGCTACTGGATCACTGAGGAAAATATTTAGAGACTATGGAAACACGGAGTCACAAGTATCCATGCTGTTTACCCTCTTTCCCTGCAGGCTTCACAGGATGCTCAAGAAGCTGAGCTCAATGCCAGAAAAGCCAAAAACTCTGTTAGCAGCCTCCTCAACCAACTGACTGACCTCTTGGAGCAACTGGGTAAGTAAGGGAAGACTTGTCCCAGCCAGGGCACTGGTGCTTTGTACTGTTCTTGGGTTCTGATACCACTGACTATGAGTCCAATTAATAGGAAGTGCTCAAAAGCTCCATTTACTCATACACTAATATTTCATTTAGCTCTTGCTTATTTAAGGGTAGCTTGTACCCTGTGTCTTGGTGGCAGGCCCTTCTCAGGGCAGCTTGCACCATCACAACATTGATAGCTGTCAACTCTAGAGCAGAAAGGAATTGGGACTTTTTTAAAGTTTAGGAACTTTAGATGCCTTCCCTGGACTCTGCACTGAATGGATGCCATGGTCTTTACACATGAAGATGAGCTGCCAGCTAAGGTGTCACTTATGGTCAAGGTTCATCACACAGCTAAACAGTCATTTCCCCTTAGTTCCTCCTGCTGGTGGAGTTTCTTTAAGGGATTTGAAAAGAAAAGGCTCAGTGGTGGAATAAGAGAATACTTGGAACTGACCGTGTACCATTGCTTATAATTCTCTCTCTACTTATGAAGTGAAAACTTTTACACCAAAAGAAAGAAAAGCTTTGTTTTGTTTTATTTTGTTTTCATGGAAACATAAGCATACAGAACCCTCCTTTTATTCCGGTTTGGGAAAGAGCAGGTCTTTTATAGGACACATGTCCTTTTGTATGGCCCTGGCTGTCCTGGAACTTGCTCGGACTCAGAGATCTGACTGCCTCTGCCTCTCAAGTGCTGAGATTAAAGGCACGCGCTGCTGGTTTTGTTTTTTGAGTTTTGTTGTTGTTGTTTTCTTTAGAGGGGGAAGAATCATATTTTATTTGTCTCAAAGACAAATAACAATAAATTGTGTGCCAGCAGATGAGCTATGGAAGTGAACTAAAGGGATGGTCTTTAGGGGATGAAGCAGACTTTGTGCCCAGGCGAATTGGAGCTGGACTTCTGGCTCTGTCACCAAGGTTTTAGCTGGTCAAATAAATTCCGAGCCATCTGAGAGTTAGTGAGCTAAACTGGCCTCAGGAGGCTGTCTGCTTCTCTCTCTGTTTTTTATGGAGCATTATCTTTCAAAAGAATCTTTTATTTTGTTCTTGATGCATTTAGATTGAAGCTTTACTGGCATTATTTCAGCCCTGGCCATTATTTTCCTAATAGTGTCTAACTCTTACAAGCAGGAAGTGACTCCCAAACTAGCCCATCTTCCCTGGAACCCAGGAGTTGAGGGCACATGCTTCTATTTTAGAGAATTTTGTATTCTTTGATGACACTGAAATGGTTCATAGATTACACATATGAACCAGCAAACAGGATTGAGTGGTAACTTTGGTAAAATGGCCTTCTTAAGCATGAGTGAGGTCTAGGACGTGGTACCTGTACATCTAGAAAACATTCTACAAGGACTGGAGAGATGGTTCTCCAGAGATGGAGTGGTTAAAGGAGCTTGCTGCCAAGCCTGACATCCTGAGTTCAATGCCTGAGACCCCCATGGTGGAAAGAGAGAACCAACTTCCACAAGTTGTCCTCTGTACTCCACATATATGCCATTCATGCATACAAACACGTATACACACACAACAATAAATAATAATAATGAGTATTTAAAAATTAAAAATATTCTGTGAAAACCACTTTCTCAAGAACAAAACTAAAACTGTTCTAATGTTAATGATCCACTCTGCGCAGCCCTATTGGTGAGGCCAGCACCGCTCAGGCCCTTGAACACAGCAGCACTTCTGTTTCATCAGGGCGGGTGCCGGCCTTAGTGCATGGCAAGGCGAGAGGCACTTAGGGTCGTGATCCAGATCTCACAGAATGAGCCTGTTCTCTTTTGTGCCCTTCCTGACCCTGCAGGCCAGCTGGACACAGTGGACCTGAACAAGCTAAATGAGATAGAAGGTACCCTGAACAAAGCCAAAGATGAGATGAAGGTCAGCGATCTGGACAGGAAGGTGGCTGACCTGGAGAATGAAGCCCGGAAGCAGGAGGCAGCCATCATGGACTATAACCGAGACATAGAGGAGATCATAAAGGACATTCACAACCTGGAGGACATCAAGAAGACCCTACCGTCCGGCTGCTTCAACACCCCGTCCATTGAGAAGCCCTAGTGACGAGAGGGCTGCAAGGCAGTGCCCCCGAAAGGGAGCCCTGTGAGGCCACAGTGCCTTGACACAAAGATTACACTTTCAGACCCCCCACTTCTCTGCTGCTCTCCATCACTGTCCTTTCGAACCAAGAAAAGTCAGAGTTTAAAGAGAAGCAAGTTAGACAACCTGAACCAGGAACGAAGGGCTTTGCCTAATAAAATCTCTCTTCCATTCATATCACCATCTCACCCAAACTTTCCCTCCTTTGCCTGAGGTCACGGCACCCTCCAGTGGCATACCCATGTCATGTGACCCATTCTATGCCAGGGCAGACCCATGCCCCTCCCCACTCTCAACACCAGCAGAATCTATCTCAGCTCTCATATTTCTATGAAGGAAATGTTTGGCTCCTCATCGTAGCATTGAGATGGCCAATATGTCCCATTTGTGGATAAAGAAAATGCCTCTGCATCTTCAGCCTCCTCTTTTAAACAAAAGGAAATAAACATCCTGTGCCAAAGGTATTGGTCATTTAGAATGTTGGTAGCCAGCCACCAGTCATGCTAGCTGTTGGAGTATAGGACACTGAGCCATCGTGGGTAAGAGTGCAGTTATGTGTGGGTCTCCCATAGAGCATGGCTCAAAGACACCTAGGATTTCCTCCCGTGTTCACTAACCAGGAAGGCAAACTTTTTCCAAATCCTTAGGCAGCTGTTAAAAAGTCAGTATGGGCAGCTTGCATTCACCAGTGTGCTAGGTAGCTTTGGATACGTCTATAAACAGGACTTAATGCATGAGAAACAGGTGTGATAACCACTAAAGACTTTGGTATTTTTCCAAGTCTAATTCTTTGATCTTTTTTGTTAGTGTGTTAAGTTGTCTGTCCAACAGTTGGTCTCTGAGATCTTGACCAATGAAAGGAAAGCAAGTCCCCATTCTCCCCATATTTTCTGGAAAATGAGGTGTAACCTGTATAAATCGGGTTCCGTATGTGCATTTCTTTTTCTCTGTTGGAGAGAGATGTGATATTTGGCCCTTAGCTCAAATTCTCTTCTGATGTTTCCATTTTTCTAAAACTCCTCGAAAACACATCATCGTTTGCCAGATCCTGGTGGCAAAAGCTGTCGCTCAGTATTTCACACAGCTGCCAACACCATCTAGTTCCTGCACTTGGTGTCTGCGCCCACTCTAAGCCTTTCCTCTGGATGGAGCGGGAAGAACCTTGTGTGGCATTTCCTAGTAAGCTTCTCAGCCTCTGATCCTCAGCTCTGTGGTTTTCCGAAGGCCACACTGTGACAGTCCCTGCCACACACCCCCTTCCTCCCACCTACCTGCCTCTGAGATTCATATATAGCCTTTAACACTATGCAATTTTGTACTTTGTGTAGCGGGGGGGAAAGAAACTATTATCTGACACACTGGTGCTATTAATTATTTGAAATTTATATTTTTTGTGTGAATGGTTTTTGTTTATCATGATTATAGAGTAAGGAATTTATGTAAATATTCCCAGTGCTAGAATGGCACTGTCAGTTCACGTCTTTGCTCCATTTTCCCTCTCGCTAGCACAGGGAACCTGACACTACCCTCCTTCCCATCATTTCCCCAGGGTTCTGCTCTGCCTCTGCCTTGTGTTTGCAGCACCTTCGCTATCTGACAGGAATCTCAACCTGCTCACCTCCACAGCCAGACCCAAGAGGGCCCTCGAGCCCTCTCCCTTGCAGTCCTGACCATCTGCAGCTCCATGCTGTCCTCAGTGCCTGTCCCAGAGCAGTCACCAGGCGACAGGGTGAAGTAGTTTGGAAAGTTTACTGATGGGACCCTCCCATTCTTGATCAGGATGGGTCAGTTTTGACAGGCAGCACGTGATGACTGAGCACTTTAGGGCGCTGGGCAGTCACTGATGAGGGAGGGAGGAGGCTCTGTTCAGTGTGCCTCCATCTCTGTTGGGCAAACAGGGATCACCGGAGTTCTGGGCTTGGCCCCCCTGAGGTTCCACTCTTGCTCTTCCCAGACCTTTTCTGCTACAGCAGAGGCATAGCCCTCCCTCACCAAGTTCACTGCTGACTGGCTAGTTCCTCTGAGTAAGTGCCTCACCACCTAACAAATGCATTTTGGTCACAGTTGCAGGAAGATGGCTGAAAAGAGACCGCCATCGTCCATTGGGTCAGCTCCATGCCAGCAGGTCGTTGGCCCTGGTGGGTGTGGTATTTTGTTTGGTTTATTTGTCCTCTTCATCTGTGTGACATATTTTTAAACAAATTTATTTTTAAAAATGAGAGTTATTTACAAGACGACACCTATTACATGCCTGCAGCACGGCTGTTGTTTTTTGTATAGTTCCAGTAATCTGTATTCTATGTAATTAAATTGACAGGATGGCTGCTGTAAAATGCTGGGTGTCACAGAGAATAGATTGTTTTATTCTCCCCCCCCCATGAAGTTTCCCTTTTGATTCCAACTGTGGCCCTTTTAAATGTGCCTTCACTTGAGCTGTCTGCCTCAATCTCCACAGCCTTCCACTCCAGGGAGGGTAGCAAAGCGTAACACTTGGCATTTTTCTATGTTTAAAAAGAAAACAGTATTTTATTTATAATAAAATCTGAATATTTGTAACCCTTTATATCTTGTGTTACCTGAGTGTGGTGCTAGGGACATAAAGTGTTTTATAAGGTATAATGAATGAACAACTTGCATGGTGCCTTAACTGCCTTCCTTGTCTTCTTGAGATTCATCCAGTGTTGTTTGCTTGTTATTCAAATTTTGGACTTCCAGCATGCTAGCCAAATACTCTACCAACTGAGCCGCACCCAACCACATTTTTCCCCCTTTATTTTGAGACAGGGTCTCGATGCAGTCCAGGTAGGCATTGAACTTGAGGTCTTCCTGCCTCTGCCTCCTGACTAGCTGGGATCATGGGATTGCACCACTAGCCTCAACTTTTTTTTTTTTTTTTAACCCTTCAAATTGTGATCTTCATTATCATCCAGAAGTTAGCAGACTTTCTCTTTACAGAGCTAGACTGTGAGTGTTACTCAGCTCTTGGAGCACAAGTGACCCAAGACAGAGAGAAGCAATGTGCTTGAGCAAAACTGCTTACAAGAGAGTGGGTGAGGTGGCTGTGTCTGCCACCCCAGCACTCGAGGCAGGAAGGCTTGAGGCCAGCCTGGACTACAGACAGACCTTGGCTCACTGAGCACAGCACTTGGAGTGTAAGCATGAGACTGGAGTTGAATCTCTAGAACCTTCATAAACCAGGGCAAAATGGTGTACATCTGTGATCTTTGTGCTCTTTTGGTGAGAGGAGACAGGCAGGAGAAACCTCAGAAGCTCATACCCTGCTAGCCTGCCATATTAATGGTGAACAAGAGACCCTCCACCAAACAAGGTGGAGAGCAGGGACTAGTACCCAGGGTTGACCTCTGACCTCCGCATATGCATGTATCCACTTGCACTCACAGATAAACATCAGACACACAAAAAAGAAATCAAATAATAAAATATGCCGTGGGCCTGCCAGCTGGAGCTTACAGAACCCCTGGTGTGGTCTCAGTATCTGGTCAGTCACAACGGAGCTGCTTTTCGATGATTGGGCCCTCTGAGTAGCGATGCACATGGGATGTGTTTAGATGAGAAATTCACTCAGACTTTCTAAAGGAAAAGAGCATTAACCTGCATTAACGGGGCAGGTGTGATGCATCTAGCCCCATCCCCAACTGGAGACCAGGTGAGACATTTTGGAGCTAGAAATAGCAGGAAGGCTTGGGGCCTGCAAATTCTCCCTTTAACTCCCTGTCCCTGCTGATCACCCTAAGTCCCTGTGAGTCCTGTGCCTCCTTTTCTAGGATCATAGATTGTTAGAAGCAGGGAACCTATAAAGAACCAGTGGGCTCTTCTGATTGGACTTTCTCAAAGGAAGCTTTGGAGGCACTAGGTAACCTTTGTCTGGGTACTTACCCCCACCCCAGCCCTCAGAATCATGGGGTCTGATTGAGAAGCAAATGTTAAGTCTTTAGTTACCATGGAGTAGTGGGTGAAGTGGTTAAAAAGCTGCTACCATCACCTGATTCCAAGTTTCCCCTTAAACAAACACCTTAACATCTTAATACCAGCTTCACTTAAGCCCAAAATGGGACAGCTAGCACCCCAAGAAGATGGTGGGGTAGAAAGTAGGGGACCCAGACATCAAGAAGAGCAACTCTCCTAGAGCCGTGCTAGTGAAAATAGAAACTGGGCAGTTTTAAATGGTTTGGAATTGCCTGTTCACCCTAAGCAGGTTTAAAGGAAGTGATTATTAACAAGTGTGGTGTGGAGGTGGAGAGATGGCTCAGTATTTAGAGCACCCACTGCTTAATCCTGAGGACCAGGTTGCAGGAAGAGTGGTGAACACCATTGGACAGCTCACAGATGCCTGTAACTCAGCTCCAAAGGTTCCATCACCCTCTTCTGACTCAGCGAGCAATTGCACTCACAGGTGTACATGCACGTGTGCACACACACACTCACATATAAACACAACTCTTAAAAATCGTTGAGGGTAATTAAAAAAAAAACCATCAAGCAGGGTGGAGTTTCTAAGTAATCTTAGAGTCAAGTCAGCCCTGGTTCAGGGAAGCTATGCCCTGCCCCAGGACAGACACGCTTGTTCCATATCAGTGAGGATGTCCCCAGTGCACAAGTGAAACACGTGCTTTGAAAAGGAAAGCTAGATAACAAATGCATCAAAAGGCAAAGGGGCCCTTGACTAGGAGTTCAAACCTGAGAAAGGAACACACTGAAATCTGTGCGGATGCTTCTTTATCTTTGCTTTAACTCCTCTGTCCAAAGTTCTTGCTTCCCTTTCCCAGGACAGTATAACCTGATGCCATGTGTCACCTACTCTGTTGGAACCTTCCAGTCCATCCTGACTCTAACATCCCACCTGCCTGGCTGCTAGCATGGCCCTCAGGTGTGTTCGTTGATTCAAGCATCCTTGATTATCTTTCCTCACCAAGTCATGCCCATCTGCAGTGATGCCCTTAGGCTGCGAGGCGTAGATTGGCCACTGAGGTTGCCTGAGTGCTCTCACACTGCTCCGTTAGTTTTTCTCTCCTCCTCCTACCCCCATTCTGTACCCTCGGCACTCCTACCTAAGCATAGACCAACAGGCTCTTATGTGAAAGAAGTTAAACAAGACCACTGGTACCAAATGACATAGCACACAAGGCCACATACTCCACAACTATCTTGTGAGATCTGGTCAACAAGGCCTCCTGGCTTCCAACCTCACATTGCATGCTCCCATGTCTGTCTCTTCGCATCTATGGATTGTAGCCATAGCCCCTCCTGCAGCCTGATCCAATTCCTTAACTCTTGGGAATGATTTCAGGTAAACTTCGAACCAATCAGTTGTGTTATCCTTCTCCTAAATCTTAGAATAAATATAGGTTATAAAGGTTCAACAGGGTCGTTTATGTCTGTTAAAAGTACAACATGGGGTGAGGGTGAGGGGTGGAGAGATGGTTTAGCAGTTGAGAGCACTGGTTATTCTTCCAGAGGACCTGAGTTCAATTCCCAGCACCCACATGGCAGCTCACACCTGTCTGTAACTTCAGTTTCAGGAGACTCCAAAACCCTTGGCAAAACACAAATGCATAGGGTTTTTGTTGGTTTGCTTGTTTTAAGTTCAGGATCAGGCCTTTGATCATGAATATAATCTTGCCAGGTGTGTGCCCTTAATTTCAGGATTTGGAAGGTAGAAGCAGGCAGATCATTGTGAATTCTAAGTCACCCTTGCCTACACAGGTAGTTCTAGGCTAGCCAGGGGTACACAGCGAGACCCTGACGAGAGAGAGAGAGAGAGAGAGAGAGAGAGAGAGAGAGAGAGAGAGAGAGAGAGAGAGAGAGAGAAGGAAACTTTCTTGGGGCTGGTGAGATGGTCAGCAGGTAAAGACAATTGCTGTTAACCCTGGCACCTTGAATTTTGAGACCCAGCCTATGTGGTCTACCATCATACTGACATCTTCCTTCAGTGGCTCCAAGCAGCTATCAAATTTGTCCTATTAATTTGGTTCATCTTAAAGCTTTGTAGAGCAGACCTGAAACCTCTTCTGGGATGACCATCTTCTTCTAGGATGGCCGCCCGTCTTGGTTTTCTTTAACCTCTTCTTGTCCGGTTGCCCCCAGACACATTTTCCGTGGATGCCTCTTTCCTCCCCACATTGCCTCCGTGTGAGGTTAGCTCCGAGTCAGCACAAGCTCAGCCTGAACAGGACTGTCTGGGAGATGGGCTGCCCAATGGTGGATTACAGCTTCGGGGCTGCTGAGCCAGCACCCAAGATGAAGCCTCAAAGGGCAAGCTGTGATTTCCATGATTACACGTTCAGCATGTTGAGAGCGTGTGCTGAGATTTGATGCCCTCCTTGCTACAGTCCATGCAGTGCTGTCTCAGCAGGCCGGCCCAGGCCAGCGGGCCTGGCCCAAGGCATGAGTGCTGTCACCCATGTCTCAGGTGGGCTCTGCAGGGTCCGCAAGGCCCTGGAAGCATTGATAGTGCTGAGATAGCTTTGTATTTTAGGAAGTGCCTTCATGGGGCTAGAGAGACGGCTCAGGGGTGAAGAGCTTGTCAACACTTGCAGAGAACTGGGGTTCAGGTCCCAGCACCCATGTGGCGGCTCACAGTCCTCCATAGTTCCTGCCCCAGGGTGCACAAACACGAGAAGGCAAAGCAGTCATACTCATAACATAAAAACAAATGAGTAAATCGAAATAGCGCCTTTGTGGCCATTTTGTCCATGCTTCATTTGAAAGGTAAGCCCAAGCGGGGAGACCGGAGTGTGTTGGCTGCTTGCAGCTTGCATGTTCTGCAGCTGGCTCTCCTGGTTTTGACCCATTCACCCTTTCCAAGCTCCTGTTCCATAATTGTGAATAATCATAAGTTGCCGTGGATCCCTTTCCTAGCCTTAGCAAGGTGTGATTACTACTAGGAACCTGATCATCCTCGGCACCATGCCGCTCCCACCCCTCTTGGGGCACGTCCTCCCTCCCCTTCTCTTTCCCTGTCTCAGAACAAGGTGTAAGGCCAGTTCACAAAGTTTAATTCTACCCGGAGGACACAACCTAAAGTTTATCTCCCTTCAGAAGGTCCCCCGCCATTTCTACTGATGCTTTTGCTTGTCAGCAACAATAGCTAGTTTTGAGTAAGTTCCATTCACTTTGGCATTTCATGGGGATGAGTGAGTGCTCTGTGCTCGACTTTCTCCTGCTCTCTAGACCTTTTTCTTTGGAAATATGTAAGGTTTCTATTTACTCAGCATCCAGCTTCCTTAGTATTTTCACCTGATAGGCCACAGTACATTTATCTATATTAAGAGGCTCAGTAGGTAAGGGAGCATGCTGCACAGGCCTGGTGGTCTGAGTTCTATCCCTGTAGTTCAAGTAAAGATGTAGGGACAGAGCCAGATCTACAAAGTTGTCCTCTGACTCTCATCCATCATTCACACATACAATAATAATAATTTCAATTATTTCAATTATTTTTAAAAAGAAAAAAAAACCAACTGGGTGTTGGTGGCCCATGCCTTTAATCCCAGCACTCAGAAAGCAGAGGCAGGCAGATCATCTCTGTGAGTTTGAGGCCAGCCT